AAGATAAGAGTTATGGTCTCTCACCCAATTTCCAGGCCTGGGTTGGTTCCTTGAATGAAGTGAAGGTAGGTACACTTAAGGAAGATGTATAAATATCTGTTGATATATTCCTAATAGGCTTCCCCAATGGGACCTATAGTCATGTCCCAGGATAACTGTTATGGCTGAATTGTGTCCTCCAAAAAGATATGTCGGGGAGCCCTTTCCCCAGGTACCTGTGTAATAAGTGACCTTACTTGGAAATGGGTTCTTTGCAGATGTAATCAAGCTAAGATAAGGTCATACTGGATTAGTGTGGGTCCTAATCCAATGACTATGTCCTTATAAAAAGACATTTGGACATAGAGACAAACAGCAAGATCAAGTGAGGATGGAGGCAGAGATTGGAGTGATACACTGCAAGCCAGGGAATGCCAAGGACTACTGGTAACCACTAGAGGCTAGGAGAGAGGCATGGAAAAGATTCTCAGAGCCTCCAGAAGGAACCAACTCTGCCAACACCTTGACTTTGGACTTCTGTCTTCCAGAACCATGAAAGAATACATTTCTGTTTTTTAGTCACCCAGTTGTGGTACTTGTTATGGCAGACCTAGGAAACTAAGAGAATAACTGTGCCCTTGGGAACTATTGACACTGGCTTAATGCTAATTGGAGTTGTAGTTGGCACAGTGATCCCCCACTCAGAGTGGAGGCTTATGGAGTCAAGTGAAAAACTGACTTTTGATTCTAATCTACCTCACTGCCAGTCCTGTCCTTAAGCCCATTTTTATTTTTATTTATTTATTTATTTATTTATTTATTTATTTATTTATTTATTTATTTTTTTTTTTAAAAGATTTTATTTATTTATTTGAGACAGAGAGAATGAGAGAGAGAGAGCACATGAGAGGGGGGAGGGTCAGAGGGAGAAGCAGACTCCCCGCCGAGCAGGGAGCCCGATGCAGGACTCTATCCAGGGACTCCAGGATCATGACCCGAGCCGAAGGCAGTCGCTTAACCAACTGAGCCACCCAGGCGCCCAAGCCCATTTTTAAACCCATGGTTTTTCTAGTTCCATAGTGGATAGTTAGATTAGGCATATTCAGCAAGTGGCAGAATATGTCACTCTAACCCATGAAATATGGCTATTATGGTTGAAAGGGCTAAGTGGAAGCCCCACAGCTTACTTCCTATCAAAATTATAAACAAAAGCCAATACTGCATTGCTGGGGGAAATGTTAAGACTCGGACACCCATCAAAGACCTGAAAATTCAGAGGTGGCGATTGCTGTTACTTACCCTCTTAACTCACCTGTCTGGCTTGTGCAGAAGTCAGATGGTGCTTGGAGAATGGCAGTGGGTTATTGAAAGGTTAAGACAGGTGATGACTCCAATCGTACCATGTTCCTGATATGGTTTCTTTACTAGAGCAAAACAACAGAGCCTCTGCCACCTGTAGTGAAGTTATTAACTTGTAAATGTTTTTTCTCTATTTCAACGAGCAAAGAAAGCCAAAGGTAGCTTTGTTTAATCTGGCAAGGGCAGAGATACACCTTCGCCATTTTGCTTCATGACCATGTTAACTCTCGGCCTTTGTGCCACAATTTAGTCCACAGGGACTTTGATCTTCTTAGCCTCATGTAAGACATCACACAAGTCCACTATAATTATGACAAAATGCTGGTAAAACCTAAATAGCAGGAGGTATCAGGTACCCCAGATGTCTTAATGAGTTGTTTTCAGTGGTTTTGGTTTTATTTTAAAATAATTTTATTTTTAATTTATTTTATTTTATTTATTCATTTTTTAAGATTTTATTTATTTATTTGAGAGAGAGAGAGCATGAACAGGGTGAGGGGCAGAGGGAGAAGCAGGCTCTCTGCTGAGCAGGGAGCCTGACGTGGGGCTCGATCCTAGGACTCATGACTTGAGCTGAAGGCAGATGCTTAACCGACTGAACCACCCAGGTGCCCCATTAATAATTTTTTAAAAAAATTCTATTTATTTATTTGAGAGAGAGAGTGAGCGAGAGAGAGAACATGAGCAGGGGCAGAGGAGCCTACTGAGCAGGGAGTCCGATGCGGGGCCAGGACCCTGGGATCATGACCTGAGCCAAAGGCTGATGCTTAACTGACTGAGCCACCCAGGTGTCCCCAGTGTTTTTCGTTTTAGTCATTCTAGGACATGTGTAGTGGTATCTCGTTGTTTTAGTTTACAATTCCCCAATTCCCTGGTAACATGATGTGGAGCATCTTTTTGTATGCTTATTTGCTATTTTCTTTGGTGAGGTGTCTGTTCAGATTTTTCTTTTTTTTTCTTCCTTTCCTTTCTTCTCCTCTCCTTTCCTTCCTTCCTTTTTCTTTTTCCTTCCTTCCTTCTCTTTTCTTTCTTTCCTTCTTTCTTTCTTCTCTCTCTCCCTTCTTTCCTTTCTTTTTCTTCCTTCCCCTTCCTTCCTTCCTCTTCTTCTTTTTTTCCCTCCCACTCCCTTCCTTCCTTCCTTCCTTCCTTCCTTCCTTCCTTCCTTCCTTCCTTCCTTCCTTCCTTCCTTCCTTCCTTCCCTTCCTCCCTTCTTCCCTTTCTCCCCTTCCCTCCTCTCCTGCTCTTCCTTCCTCCCTTCCAACTTCAAACACATATGCTTTATTTTGCAGAAGTGTCAGTGGTAGGCTGAGACCCCCAGCAGGGCAGGGGCAGCTGGGCAGCCACCGGGCCCTTTGGGAAGGTGGGGGGAAGCCGCAGAAAGAGGTGATGCCTCCATAGCTCCTCCCAAGGCCAGCCTCTTCCCCAGGCCCCCAGGACAGAGTTTTTGCCTATTTTTAAATCAGGTTGTTTGTTCTCTTATTGTTGTGTTTTAAGGATTCTTTGTATATTTTAGATACTAGTCCTTCATTAGATATGTGTTTCGCAAATATTTTCTCCCAGGCTGCATGGCTTGTCCTTTCATTCTTTTAACAGTGTCTTTTGCAGAAGTTTCTAATTTTAATAAGGTCCAACTTATCCATTGTTTCTTTCATGGATTGTGCTTTTGATGTTTCTAAACAGTCACTGCCAAACCCAACGTCACCTAGATTTTCTCCTATGTTATCTTCTAGGAGTTTTATAGTTTTGCATTTTACATTTAGGCCTATGATCCACTTACCTGTGTGTGTGTGTGTGTGTGTGTATTAAGATTTTATTTATTTTAATATATATATATTTTAAAGACTTTATTTATTTGACAGACAGAGACACAGCGAGAGAGGGAACACAAGCAGGGGGAGTGGGAGAGGGAGAAGCAGGCTTCCCGCTGAGCAGGAAGCCCGATGCGAGGCTCGGTCCCAGGACCCTGGGATCATGACCTGAGCTGAAGGCTGACGCTTAATGACTGAGCCACCCAGGCACCCCTTTACATGTATATTTTAAATAATTATTTTATCAAATTAAAATGCACATAATTAAAAAATATCAAGACTTATAATGATAAGACTTATAATGAAGAACATCCTCTTCTCTATCCCTTTCTTTTTTAAAAATTTTAAAAAATATTTTACTTATTTATTTGACAGAAAGGGAGAGAGAGCACAAGCAAGGGGAGTGGCAAGCAGAGGGAGCCGCTGATGCGGGCTCCATCCCAGAACCCTGGGATCATGACCTGAGCTCAAGGCAGACGCTTAACCGCTTAACTGAGCCACCCAGGTGCCCCTTCTCTACCCCTTTCTATCCCCAGAACCCAGATCCCACTCTCCAAACCATTTCAGCTGTTTCTTTTTGGTATTGGCTTCCACATATTTAGATAAACAACATTTTTAGCTAACATTTATTGAGTGTTTACAATAGAGTGTCAGGCTCTATCTTAAGTGCTTTTCATGCATTGTTTCGTCTTCATAATCATCTTATATTATAGGTACTATTTCTAGTCCCATTTTAGGGATGAGAAAAATTGAGTCACAGAGCGGTTAGGTAATTTTGTAAGGTCACATGGTTAGCAAATGGCAGAGTTGGGATTTAATCCTCGGCAGTGTGTTCTTTCAGTATAATGTTTACCTTGTGATTTCTTGATTTTTTAATTTTAGACTATTGGCTTCCTAGTATGAATATTTATCACTCACACCACCAAAGTCACCAATGTGTCCCCCTTTATTAATCCAATATGCCATATTTCACTGAATCTAAGACATCACTGACTGTAAGATATACCTTTATATATCACTAAAAAGAAAATAATTACTCTCTTATCACTTAGAATTTTCGTTTTATATTTATTGAAAGAGATCCTTTAGACTTCAGATGTATTATTTACTATATACTTTTGTGCATGCACGCAATAAAAAGAAAAATACAGGGGCGTCTGGGTGGTTCAGTCAATTAAGCGTCTGCCTTTGGCTCATGTCATGATCCCAGGGTCCTGGCATCGAGCCCTGTGCTGAGCTCCCTGCTCAGTGGAGAGCTTGCTTCTCCCTCTCCCTCTGCTGCTCTCCCCTCACCCACCCCACTCGTGCTCTCTCTCTCTCTCTCAAATAAATAAATTTTTTAAAAAAGATTTTATCTATTTATTTGACAGAGAGAGACAGCGAGAGAGGAAACACAAGCAGGGGGAGTGAGAGAGGGAGAAGCAGGGAGCCCGATGTGGGGCTTGATCCCAGGACCCTGGGATCATGACCTGAGCCGAAGGCAGACGCTTAACAATTGAGCCACCCAGGCACCCCTAAATAAAATCTTTTTAAAAAATACAAGCAAATAAACTGGTTAAAGTATTTCTAAAATTTCTTTCATTCAGAATCTCATTCTTTTGAATCATTTTTTGCCTCAAAGATGTCAAACCCCACATTTTTTTTATTGTTTTTAACACAAATCATACTACATACTTTCAAGAGTAATGGTGATATAGTATTTTTTAAAAGAGGGATCCACTATCATCAGTGGGATTTTCTTCTAACCGATATTCATTCTGCAAATTTTGATACTGGCATTTTCCTGATTTTTCTAGAATATATAAACGAAAACTGCTTAGACAAAACCTGGACTTATATTCTTTCCTCAAATGGTCCTTCAATGGATTATGGACCGACATGTTCAGGAGTGGCATATCCCATCATGCCATAGGAATAACAGTCATGTTTGCACATGGTTAGAGCATCTATGTCATGATCATCGCCTGGCTGATAGCAATTGTGACAGATCTTGATTTCAGATTTTCAGATTTCAGTTTTGATAGCTTGTGCATCTTGGAATCCATGAAAAAGAGTGGTCATATACAAATATTAGTTATATAAATATTTAGTTGGACTTTATGCCTGAGTCATGTATGTATCACTTACGTACCATGATTAATTTGCTTGTATGAACTTTTGCTTTCCCTAGAATCAATAATAGCCTGTTTTTTATTTGCTTACTTTTCTATATTCTCTATCATTATCTCTCTCCTAAGGAATTGTAAAACTCTTGGAAATACTCTTTTCCACACAGACATGTCAAGTCTTCTATCAGTCCCTTTATTTTTTTCTTGGAGACATTTCTCCTGGAGCTTTATGGGTTAGACTGGACTATTTTCCCAGTTCTTCACTTCCTTCCTTTTACTGAATTATACACCCATGCTTTATGCCACATGACTTTGCAGTATCTTCCACTAGAGTATGGGGAGTACATTTTCCTACCCCATTGATGTTGAGCTTGGCCCTATGACTTGCTTTGGCTCAAGAATGTTAATAGACATGAGAGGAGCAGAAGATTTCAATGTACTTGTGTCATCTGGCTTGCTTTTTGAGCTCTTCTACAATTCGCCATGAAAATAACGTGGCTTGGGTAACGGTTGGTTCAAGGAGAATGAGAAAACATGAGAAGACTTGAACCCAAACTTCAGTCTAGAGCCAAACCCAGCTGAACCCAGCTATATCAACTGAACTGTAGCCAATATGTAGACCCATGAACATGAGAAATAATTTGTTTGTGTAAGCCACTGAGATTTTGAGGTTTTCTTTTACTACATAGAAAAAAACTGACTAAATGCCTTCTGTCCTCCTGCACAAGTCTGGACTGGTTGTTGCTCTGCAGAGCTATTGTCCTGGGATGTTCCTTTGCCTACCTATTAGGCTGGATACCTAATCTACTGATTTCTGTGACTTCCTTTTTCTTGGTTTAATAGAGCATACATATCCTTAAGTAGCTGCCTGAGAATGGGTGCATAAAAGGCACATTTCTTGAGACCCCCTCATGTTGACTGGGTCATCACATTTCATTAATAATTTGGCCAGGTATGGATTTCCAGGTTGAAAATAATTTTCTTTCAGAATTTGAAGGCATTTTACCATTGTCTTTCAGCTTCCTATGTTGTTTTTGAGGGATGTAACTATAATTCCCTATTCTGTATATGTGGCTTATTTATTTTTCCTTTGGAAGCTTTTAGAATCTTCTTTATGTTCCAAGAATTCTGATATTTCATGATGATATGCCTGGGTGGGAATCTGTTTTCAACCACTGGATATTTGGTGGGCCCTTTCAGTCTGAAAACTCATGTCCTTTAGTGATGGAAAATAATTTTTAACAGGAAAATTTTCTTAAGATGCTATTTATCTGATAATATATTTTTTCACTTAATCTTTTCTTTCTTTTTGGAACTCCTATTAGGTGGAGGTTGGGCACTCTCAATTGCTTTTTCTAACTTCATTTGTTCTCTCACATTTTCCATATCTTTTTGTTCTACTTTTTGGGAGATCTTCTCATTTATCTTCCAATTATTTTATAGATTAAAAAAATTAGCTAACATATCTTAAAATTCCAAAAGTTATCTCTGTCCTGTTATTTTTACCTTTATAGAAATAATCTTATTTTTGTTTCATGGTTATATTATGTTCTCTCTTTTTTTTCCTCTCTGGGTATTTTTTTCTTCTCTAGATTTTTTGGGGGAGTTTTCTTCTATTGCTTTCTGTATTGTTTTTGCTTCCTTCTAGTTTTCTTCTTCTTGATTATACTTTTGGCTTTTATGCTCAAGCTTTCCTTACATGCCTGGTGATTCTTTTCCTTTCATATTTAAGAGTGAGGTATTAAAAAGTTTGTGTCCAGAGTTTGTGAAATGTGGTTTCACTGTATGGTCACTGGATAGGGACTCAGCTGTTTTTTGTTTGTTTTTTTTTTTAAATGCAAAATGTTGCTTCTACAGATCTTTTCTCTAGGGTCATTTAGTATCTCTAGAGACAAATCTTTCAAGGTTCTGCCCAAGAAGGAAATGTGCTTGGCTGCCATTGCTCTTGAAGCTACATGGCAGAAACGGCTGGGGTGGGTTTTGGGCACAGCTCTTCTTTCTCACTTTTTGCTCTTCCTGGAGGTCCTGAACCTGAAGGCTCTCTGGTTGGCTTCTTCCACACGCTAACACTTCAGTCTCCTATATCTTCAGGAAAGGGGTATTTGGCTGACCAGGATGCAAGAGACCTGGAAGTCTTACTGCATTTAAAAAATAAATTATATGTACAGTCCTGAACTTTTCTGGGGTACTGTGGTATGAATTTGATTCTTTTTTTTTTGACATCCCCTCTGTAGCTATTGGGTGTTTAGTTTTCTTAGTTCTGCTATTCATTTTTCTCAGTTCTGCTTTCTCTATTTAGTTTCCATTTGTAATAGAGTACAGACATGTATTAAGAGAAAAAAGTTTATAATTTCACTAACTTGAAATAAAAATACATGTATTAGGCCAGATGATTCAAACAAGTAAAGAAATAGAAAGTAAAATATAAAAGTGTCTTCCTCCTTTCTTCCCCTAGTCCTTCTCTCAAAAGGTAACCTTTGTGAATACTTTGATTTCTCCTAGAAATAAAAAAAAACCAAGCCTATAAGTGTGTGTGTGTGCGTGCGTGTGTGTGTGTGAAATTGTATATACACAGGATAAAACCATATAGTATATGGGCTAGATTTTTCCCGTAATATTCCTGGAGATATTTCACTATTGGCACATGCAGATTCATTTTGTTCTTTATAATTTATTGTGATGGGCACACTGGTTTTGAAACTATTTCTAGAGCACTATACAAACTATAAAGGATCTTCTCTAGTAAGTTCTTTTTGTAGAGCAAACAATTTCAGGGTAATTAATACTTGTCCATTAATTTTTCAGGTATGTATACTGGTATTTTATTTTTTTTATATTTATTTACTTAAGTAAATAAAAGCCCCAACGTGGGGCTTGAAGTCATGACCCTGAGATCAAGAGTCACATGCTCCCCCCAACTAAGCCAGCCAGGTACTCCTGTATACTTGTATTTTAATACATCAACCTTTCTTAAAGTGATCCCAGCTGTAAACAGATCACTACATATATAGTCACAAGGGTTTCAAGTGAAATGCTCAGTGAGGCAGAGAGCAAAATTATTGGGAATCTTTTGGTTGCAAGAAACAGAAATTCCACCTGAAGGAAACTCCAGCTAAAGGGGAAAAAGAGAGTAGGTTTTAGGGATACTCTGTTGTCTTATAGGACCTAACAACAGGCGGGCTTCATGGAAAACTAGGACCAGAGACCCAGACACCACTGTAACTCTCTCTGATCTTTTAGCTCTGCTCCTCTTGCACTCTGTTCTTTACTCTAAGCAAATCCATTTCTTCAATTATTCTAGTCCTCAGAGTAGATAACTTGGCAATGGACAGCTGCAGAGATGTACATCTTAGAGAGCCTTGGGGCTCTCTCTCAAGCTCTGGTTTTAAAATTTCTGGGGGAGAAGGGAATCTGATTGGTCCAGCTTGGGTCATATTAGGTTGTTACCTTAGGACAAGTAAAATGTACCCAGATGTATCCAGAGAGCAATGGATGGCAGTGAATGGACCAATATGACAGCAACCTTGAAAAGTGTTTGGATGGTGTGAAGGGGTGAGGGAGAGCATTGCTATCAGAAGGGGAATGCTGAATAGACTGTTGCCTAGGGGTCTGCCAGTACTGAATCTTCTAATTCTTTGATGGAGACTTCCTGGAAGGGGTAAGATTTTTTTTTTTTAAAGATTTATTTATTTATTTTGAGAGAGAGACAGAGAGAGCAAGTGTGTATGAGTAGGGGGAGGGGCAGAGGGAGAGGGAGAATGAGAATCTCATGCAGACTCCCTGACGAGCACAGAGCCTAACACACGGGGCTTGATCTTAGGACCCTGAGACCATGACTGGAGCCGAAATCAAGAGTTGGATTCTTAACCAATTGAGCCACCCAGGTGCCCTAGATTTTTCTTTTTTAAAGATTTTATTTATTTATTTATTTAGAGGAATCTCCACACCCAACATGGGGCTTGAACTCACAATCCCGAGATCAAGAGTCATATGCTCTACCAACTGAGCCAGCCAGGTGCCCCTAGAAGCAGTAAGATTTCAGTGGTGCCATCATTTGAAGAAAATCCAAGCCCTCGGTGAAGGTTCCAAAGGTTCCCTAGGTCACAGAGAAGACCCTACCCATCAGTCTGGAGCCCACCAACACATCCTTTTCTGGGCCTTCAAAGCTCTGTGATCCTTCCAAGCGAAAGTGGACAGCAGTGGGCACTATTGTTAAAACAAGGCTGGGTTCAGTCTTCATTTTAACCATTTATGGAGATCTACATTTCTTTATGTAGATCAAAGTTTCTCTCTGATATCATATTCCATCTTCCTGAAGAACTTCCTTTAACATTTCTTCCTTTAACATTAAAATTTTTTAATGCAGGTGTGATGGTAATGAATTCTCTCAAATTATATTTGTCTGAAAGAGTGTTTCTCTCTCATTTTTGAAATATGTTCACTGGGTACGGAATGCTGAGTTGACAGTTTCTTCCTTCAGCACTTTAAAGATGTTACTCTATTGTCTTCTGGCTTGCAGAGCTTCTGGTGAGAAGTGTGCTTTGTTCCTCCGTATAGTGTGTCTTTTTTCTTTGGCTGCTTTCAAGATTTTCTCTTTTAGTTTTTGGAATTTTGGATATATGATGTGTCCAGGTGTGTGTAGTGGTTGAAAAATATGTATACAAATTCTTTGATGCTTTAAAAGGTGGAGTTTAATTCTTCTCTTAAGTTTGGGATGGACTTAGAGACTTCCTGCTCTCCAAGTTATTTTATCTTATTTTATTTATTATTTTTTAAAAGACTTATTTATTGGGGTACCTGGGTGGCTCAGTTGGTTAAACGTCTATCTCTGGCTCAGGTCATGATCCTGGGGTCCTGGGATTGAGCCCCACATCGGGTTCCCTGTTCAGTGGGGAGCCTGATCCTCCCTCTCCCTCTGCTGCTCCCCCTGCTTGTGCTCTTCCTTCTAAGTAAATAAACTCTTTTAAAAAAATAAAATATTTATTTGAGAAAGAGAGAGAGAGACAGAGAACAAGTGGGGGAGGCGCAGAGGGACTGAATTCAGTGCAGACTCCCCACTGAGTGTGGAGCCCAATGCAGGGCTCAGTCTCATGACCCTGAAATTATGACCTGAGCCGAAATCAAGAGTCAGACGCTTAACTGACTGAGCCACCCAGGTGCCCCACAGGCATTTTATTTTTAAATTTTTGTGTATCAAAGTATAATTAACATATAACATTGTTAGTTCCAAGTGTATGGCATAATGATTCCATATTTGTATGTATCACAAAATGACATCCATTGTTATAGTCACAAAATTTTTTTCTTTGTTAGATGTCCATGACTCATTTATTATATAACTGAAGTTTATACCTTTTGATTGCCTTCAGCCCTTTTGCCCAGCCCCCAACAAACTGTTTCCTGCATCTATAAGGTCTTTTTTTTTCTTTTTTAAGATTTCATATATAAGTGAGATCATATGGTATTTGTCTTTCCCTGACTTGTTTGACCTAGTATAATACCCTCAGGGTCCATCCACATTTTCACAAATGACAAGATTTCATTGTTTTTATGGCTGCATATATTCCATATCTTGGCTATTGTAAATAATGCTGCAATGAACATGGGGGTGCATATGTCTTTCCGAGTTAGTGTTTTTCTTTGGGTAAATACCCAGAAGTGGAATTGTTGGATCATATGGTAGTTCTATTTTTAATTTTTTGAGGAACCTCCATATTGTTCTCCATGGGAGACTCACTTCTAACAAAGATGATATAGTGGGAATTAATGGTGTGCTACTTCTGAGACTGGGCTCGTACAAGACAGTGTTGCTTCTGCTTGACTCTTAGATTGCTCTGGGGATGCTAACTGCCACACTGAGGATTTTAAGCTGGTATGATTTAGTGATCAGGACATTATAATTATTTTATATATTTAATTGTCAGAATAAGCCAGCTGGATGAGGAGTTACCGTAATGGGAAGAAACTGTCAAAGATAAAAACCCAAATCGTGACATTATGCCACAGAAAGCTTATTGAGTGATTTGCTCTTCCAGCAAGCACTTGGTAAGCATCCATACTGTGTCTGAGTATGTTCAGATAAGCCACAGAAATCAGGCAGAGGAAGACCCTAAACCAGTTTTGTAATTTTAACCTGCTAGAATATGAATCTTGACTTCTTTGATACAACTCTATTAAAATACAGTTCATTTAACTTTTTAAAATTAATAGACTTGGGGCACAGAGTTGGTTCAGTCAGTTGAGCTTCTGACTCTTGTTTTTGGCTCAGGTCATGATCTCGAGGTTGTGGAATTGAGCCCTGTGTGGGGCTCCATGCTCAGTGGGGAGTCTGCTTGGGATTCTGTCTTTCCCTCCCCCTCTGCTCCTCCCACCCTCTCTAAAATAAATAAATCTAAAAAAAATAAAATTAACAGACTTTATTTTTTATTTTTTTAAGATTTTATTTATTTATTTGAGACAGAGAGAATGAGAGACAGAGAGCACGAGAGGGAGGAGGGTCAGAGGGAGAAGCAGACTCCCCGCCGAGCAGGGAGCCTGATGCGGGACTCGATCCCGGGACTCCAGGATCATGACCTGAGCCGAAGGCAGTCGCTTAACCAACTGAGCCACCCAGGCGCCCCAGACTTTATTTTTTAGACCAGCTTTAGGTTCATAGCAAAATTCAGTGGAAAGTATAGAGCTACCATATATTCCCCCGCTCCTGGAAAGCGCCCCCCCCACCGCCCGCCGCCCAGTATCAACATCAGCATCAGAGTGGTACATTTGTTACAATTAATGAACCAATACTGATATATCATAAACCAAAGTCCATATTTTATATCAGGGTCCACTCTTTGTGTTGTACATTCTATGGGTTTTGACAAATGTATAATGACATGCACTCAACATTATCTATTATACAGAACAGTTTCACTGCCTTAAAAATCCTCTGTGCTCCACTTCTCTGCCCCACTCAAGCTCCTGGCAACCACTGATGTTTTTTACTGTCTCTATAGCTTTGCCTTTTCCAGAATGTCATATAGTTGGGATCATACAGTATGTAGCCTTTTTGCATTGGCTTCTTTCACTAGTAACATGAATTTATGGTTTCTCCATGTCTTTTTGAGGCTTGATAGCTCATTTCTTTTTAGCACTGAATTATATTCCATTATATAGATGTACCATAGTTTGCTTATCCACTTGCCTACTAAAGAATATCTTGGTTAGGAATGCCTGGGTGGTGCGGTCAGTTAAGCCTCCGACTCTTGGTTTTGGCTCAGGTCATGATCTTGGGCTTGTGAGATCAAGCCTCGTATTGGGCTCCATGCTCAGCATAGAGTCTGCTTGGATTCTCTCTCTCTCTGCCCCACTCCCCACACCGCGTGCATGTTCTCTCTCAAAAATAAATAAATCTTAAAAAAAAGAGTATCTTGGTTATTTTCAAGTTTTGGCAATTATGAATAAAGCTGCTATAAATTTTGTGTGTAGGTTTTTGTGTGGATTTAAGTTTTCAGGACATTTGGGTAAATAACCAAGAAGCATGACTGCAGGATCCTATGGTAAAAGTATGTTCAGTTTGGTAAGAAACAGTCAAACTGTGCTCCACAGTGTGCTGTACCATGTTGCATTCTTACCAGCAAAGAATGAGAGTTCCTGTTGCTCTACATCCTCACCAGCACTGGTGCTGTCAGGGTTCTGGATTTCAGCTTTTCTAACGTGTGTGTAGTGGTATCTCAGTATTGTTTTAATATGCGATTCATTAATGATGTATGATGTTGAGCATCTTTTCACATGCTTATTTGCCCTCCGTGTATTTTTTTAGAGAGGTGTGTGCTCAGATCTTTGCCCATTTTGTAATCTGGTTGTTCATTTTCTTACTGTTGAGTTTTAAGAGTTCTTTGGATATTCTGGACACCAGTCTTTAATCAGATTATGTAATATGCAAATATTTTCTCCCAGTCCGTGGTTTGTCCTCTCATTCTCTTGACATTTAACTTTGGTGTGTTTTTTTTTAAAGCTTATTTTCTAAAGAATTTTTCTTTAAACTGAGGTATATATTTTTTTGATATAAAAGAACTAAGGGGTGCCTGGGTGGCTCAGTTGGTTAAGTGTCTGACTTTTGATTTTGGCTCAGGTCATGATCTCAGGGTTGTGAGATCTAGCCCCACATTGGGCTCTGTGCTGAGCACAGTCTGCCTGAGAGTCTCATTCTCCCTCTGCCCCTCCCCCTGCTTGCGTGCTCTGTCTCTCAAATAAATAAAATCTTTTTAAAAAAGATTTATTTATTTATTTGACAGAGAGAGGCACAGTGAGTGAGGGATCACAAGCAGGGTGAGTGGGAGAGGGAGAACCAGGCTTCCCACTGAGAAGGGAGCCCGATGTGGGGCTCGATTCCAGGACCCTGGGACCATGACCTGAATCGAAGGCAGACGTTTAACGACTGAGCCACCCGGGTGCCCCTCAAATAAATAAAATCTTAAAAAAAAACCCTAATATAATCCATGTCATAAAATTCACCCTCTAAAGTTTAAATTCACTGGTTTGCATAAAGTTGTGCAACCATCACCACTATGTAATTACAAAAAATTTTCATCACTCCAAAAAGAACCCTATTATCAATCATTCCCATTCCCCTCTCTCCTTGGCAACCACTAATCTATTTTGTCTCTATGGATTTGCCAGTCTGGACATTTTCATATAAATGAAATCAGAATATGTAACCTTTTGTAACTAGATTCCATTACATTTTCTTAAAAAAAGATTTTATATATTTGAGAAAGAGAGAGAGCAAGCATGAGCAGGGAAGGGCCAGAGGGACAAGCAGACTCCTCACCGAGCACGGGGCTTTACCTGGGGCTCAACGTGGGGCTCTACCCCAGGACCCTAAGATCATGACCTGAACCGAAGTCAGATGCTTAACAGACTGAGCCACCCAGGCACGCCTGGATTCCATTACATTTAACATGTTTTCAAGGTTCATCTCCATGTTGTCGCACAAATCAGTACTTCATTCTTCTTATGGCTGAATATTCCATTGTATAGATATACCATTATTTTATCTATTCAGCAGTTTGATGGACATTTGGTTTCCACTTTTTTGCTTTTTAACATTCACGTAACAAGTTTTTGTGTGGGTGTGTTTTATGTCTCTTAGGTATATATTTGGGAGTGTAATTGCTGGGACAGATGGAAACTCTATGTTCAATCTTTCGAGGGATTGCTAGACTCTTACAAACTGGTTGCATAATTTTCCATTCCCAATTCTTCACATCCTCATCAACACTTGTTATTGTCTATGTTTGATTAGAGCCATTCTGGTGGGTGTGTAGTGGTATCTCATTGCAGTTTCGATTTGCACTGTTCCCTGATGGTTAATGATGTTTTGCTTATTGCCCATTTGTACATTTTATTTGGAGAAATGTATATTCAGACCCTTGTCCTATTTTACAATTAGGTTGTCTTATTGTTGAGTTGTAAAAGTTCTTTCTTTACTCTGGACACTAGACTGGCCAGAGAAGGATGGGGGTTTTGAAGGAAGTGCAGTTACTGTTGATAAAATTTAGGACGTGACCATGACATAGGTGATTTAAGTGAGTGGGGGCAGAAAAAGATCATTAAATATAAGGAAAGCAGGATGTTGGATAAGTCATTCATGGGAAGTTAAAGCCACCAAGAATGATGACATGTGTGGGGAAAAAGAGAAAGTGATACAGGGGCTAAAATCTTTTCTGCATGAGGGACAATAGTTGACAGTTCAGTAGAAAGGGCAATGACACAAGGGCTGGAATAGTCAAACTGCTGAATTTTAAAAGCTGGAAGGAAGGATGAGAAATAATCACAGAGCAGCAGTGGGGGGCTCATGTCCTGGTTCTGACAATAAAGCAGCCTCCACCTCAGAGGGCTACAGGGGAAGCAGCCTCTTAGGGGAAAGCCAAAGTAAGCAATGCCTTCAGGGGACAATTAAGGTGAAGAGATGAAGCAAACATTCCAATGAGAAGGTGCTTATACAGAATTTGATTACAGAATGGAAGTACTGGAGGGCATATTAGAAGGGTTGGGAAGGGGAGCAGTTTGTGATGTGGTGGTGGATCAGGTTCAGACTCTTGGGATTACTGTGATAAACCTGTGAGGCATGGTGGGATTAGACCCGAATGACTCTTAGAGGATGGTGAGCAAATAATTCCAGGACTGTGGTCGAGGCTGCATCCTTATTTCTACAACTGACTGTGGACTGGAGGTAGGAGTAGGTGGGGTGGCACTCTGGTGACTTCCCTCCTCTCCTACACATTCCATATTCCCCTTGCCCTATGTCATCTCCTTAGATCATGAGTGTTCTTTGCCCAGTGGGTGACCCAAATCTTTGTTCTTTAAGAATCTGAGTGGTCCTAGTATCTAATGTCTAGTATTGATTAGGACCACAACAATACAGAAGATTGTTTAAATATAAAAAACACAGAACTAAATCTGAGGAAACAACCTGGAGTGGAGGTTTAATCAAATTCACTTATTCTTTTTTCATACTGTCCTTTCTTGTATTATGGTTTCTAGTCTTCCCTTTATTTCTCTGAACACTTTAACTTATTTTCTTTTAAAGATTTATTTGAGAGAGCGAGAGAGAGGGAGAGAGAGCATGAGCAGGGGGAGGGGCAGAGGGAGAGGGAGAAACAGACTCACTGCTGAGCAGGGAGCCCCATGAGGGATTCGATCTCAGGACCCTGGATCATGACCTGAGCCGAAGGCAGATGCTTAACCGACTGAGCCACCCAGAAGACCTCTCTGAACATTTTAAATATACTTTTAAACTCAGATTTTGTTTAAAGATTTTATTTTTAAGTAATCTCTTCATCCAACATGGGGCTCAAACTCACAACCCCAAGATCAAGAGTCATACACTCCACCAACTGAGCCAGCCCAGTGCCCCTCAGATTCTTTTATAACAATTCCTGGAGTGCAAATTTTCCCATTTGTTCCTTTCTTTGCTTTGTTTCTTCTCCTCTCTCTTCTTCTAATTTTTCCCTGTAATCTCATTTTAAATAGGACTTGTTTTTTCATAGGTTCCTTTGTGAAAATTTGATTATGGGACTATCCTTACAGTTTTGTTTCCTTCACTGGCCCAGGACTAGCTTTTTGTCAATTTTTCATTGTGACATCCCAGAAACACTCGGGTATTGTGAATTTGGACCACATTTGCACACACAGCAAATGTGTAAGTTTCTGTGTAGATGATTCTTTCTACTTACATCCCTGAGTTATGGTAGATTTTCTTTTATTTCCCTACTGATCACCAGATCAATGAGTGGTGTTCTAGTTTTTATTTCACAAGGAAGTGGTCCTTTGAGACTCCTGTCTTTGTTGAAGCCCTAGCACTCAGCTATTAGGCCTATATCTTGGTCCCAAGTCTATACAAAACTCCTTAACTTCCACTTCACACATCTTGGACTTTTGGGTTCCCATTCATTTCTGGCACCTTGGGATCTCCCATTTTTAGTTTCAAGCCCAGTTGTGTGTTGAACTTTTTGTTGTTTTTGTTACACACTATTTCCATGTTTGAGGGTGGGAAGGGGGTTTGCCTGGAACTACTCCATCTGCTGCATATTGGTCAGAAGTCACCCCAAAACAAAGGGTCTTTTGAAAACACAAATATGGTCATTTCATTCTCTTAGGATGGCATTCAAGGCACTATGAAAGCAGGAAACTTGCCTCTCTAGTTTCCTTTTCCACCGCTTTCTTCTTTTCTCCACACCCAGACAGTTAAATTAAAATGAAAAATTATAACTCATCTATTTGTTGGGCTGGATATGACGGCTACAAATAGTGCTCACCTTGTGACAATTCAGTGGAACTGTATACTTGTGATTTGCATATTTTTCCATGTATATCTCAATAAAAGAAGTTTAAGTAAAAGAACATGATTTTTTAGAAGGATAAACATTTAATCACCTTTCCGATTTTTTCTTTGGTAATTAATTGGTCTATTCAAAGTATGTTTTGGGTGTCTGCTGGGAAATTACCTATTTTCTCTGTTTCCAAATTTGGTGCCACAGAATTCTCCTGAAATTATTTAGAATTTTTCCGTATCTACATGATTTCTCATTCCTAATCTTACACTTTTTTCCTCTTTTTCCTATTTATCAGGCTGAGGTTTTATCTATTTTACTGGTGTTTTCAAAGAGTCATTTTTCTACTTACCCTTTCTCCTTTTTAACTTCAAGTTTTATCTTTATTGGTCTATTTTCTATTTTCTTATGGCTTAAATGTGTTTTTTTTCCCCTAAATCTTTTTGGGTTTTTTTTGAGGGGGGGCGGGGCAGAGGGACAGAGAGAATCTTAAGCAGGCTCTGTCCCCAGTGTGGAGCCTGACACAGGGCTCGATCTCACAACCCTGAGATCATGACCTGAGCCAAAATCAGATGCTTAACTAACTGAACCACCCAGATGCCCCTTCCTAAATTTCTAGAACAATCACCACGCATCTTTGAGTTTTTCTTTTTGAATAATAAAGGTGTTACATTTTCATTTTCAAGCCCTGTCTCATGCATTCCAGGATACTCAATATGGGTTCTGGGTCTTGCTTTGCCCCATTTGCTCTGGGTCCAATCCTGGCAGATCCTACTGGCTGGCCACAAGAACATGACAAATAAACGTGTGCTCAGTGAATAAATGACACTGTTCTGTCCTGGGACCCACTGTGAAGATCTGTGCTCACTGCAGGGCACGCCCAACCATCCGAATACCTGGAGCATCTGTCACATGTTGGCACTGTGTCAGGTCCTGTGAATAGGACAGTGAACTGGACAACCGAGTATCTGCCCTCTGGGTGCTTACAGTGCTTTCTGGTGACAAAGACAGACACAGAACAAGTAATGCAAGTGAGCTGAATGTTGCCTAGGATGCTATGGAAGCATAACATAGGGGCCGACATCCCTTAGGAGGTGTAGTTAAGAATTTGTAGAAGTGATACTTAAGTCCCTCAAAATCTGAGGGTCTACCCTATCTCCTCCTCTCCCCTTAGGAAGGTGGCCATTGGGTTTTCTAATACAAAAGTTATCTGGTCTTGAGTTATATGCCTCCTGCTCCTGGCCACAGCTGACTGAACCAAAGACTGATCACCAGGGATAAGAACTTTATCTACTAGGAATGTTCCATATAGGATGGTCACTGACTGACTGCATTAGAGCTTTAAGGGAGGTCTGAACACCCAACAGAGTGAAAGGAGAAGAAAAGGAGATAGTAGAAGAAGAGAAAAAGAACAGTAGAGTATAACAATAGCCACAAATCCTATGGTACTGGATTGGAACTGCAGGTATCAATGTGAGCTCACGATTTTTAATAATATACATATAGATACAGTAATAAATTCAGATGTGCGTGTTAACACGAATACACCTATTTCCTAGCTCTGTGTGCAGAAGGGGCCTAGAAGGAATGACACTCCAGTATCAATGAATACACCGAGTGCCTGTTCTCGAGTGCAAGGGACCAGGAGCTATCTGGGAAAACAGCTGATGCCAGGGCTGGGACAGGAAAAATATGAGTGAGCTTGGAACATCTTGTGGCGCTAGAGAGTAAGGAAGGGCTAAAAAAATGATGGGGGCAATGCCAAAACAATACAGAAGCCAACCTGAAAGCGGTCCCAATGGCCAAATCTGGGCCAGTATGAGCAATGAATAAACTACCATAGTATTATATTATAACCCACAGAATAAAACAAATATCCATTAGTTTATACTGATATAAATAAATTATTGAATAAATATATGGGAGAAAAGAGATAGCTCTTCCCTACAGAATACCAATTAATAAATACAGATGAGATAAGTAAACAGAAAGTCATCATTAGGCCAACACAGCATTAATACTTGTAAGCAAAAACCATCGAAGGATGCTAAAATTCGTAGCAAAAGTTTAAGGACAAATAAGACATTTACACAGCTTCAAAGGATCTCCCCGCAAGATTCTTATTAATTTCAAAGGGGAAACCATTAATTTTACAGTGGAGAAACCTGACACATACCACCACAGTCACATGATCCAAGTTAATATCACCCCCGCTAGAAGGCACCTTTAGAAGGGCACATCGTCACTTCTGGGTAGTTCTGCCAAAACTGCAGACCCTCAATCTAATCACGCGAAAACAGGAGACAAACCCAAACTGAGGAACTTCTATAAAATAACTGACCTGGACATGTCAGAAGTGTCAAGGTCATGAAAGGCAAAGAAAGGTGGAGGAACTGCCAGGGGCTGAAGGAGACAAAGGAAACATGACAAAACGTAACATGGGATCCTGGATTGGACCCTAGACCAGATGAAGGACGTCAGTGGGGAAAATGGCAAAATCTGAATGTCTACAGGTTAGTACTGTGTCAGTGTTAATTTCCTGCTTTTAATAACGATACTATAGTTTGGTAAGATGTTAATATTAGGAGAAGTGAGGTGAAGGATACAGGAGAACTATTTTTGCAACTTTTTGTAGGTCTATAATGATTTCAAAACAAGTAGCATTAGCAGTAGCAGGAGTAGTAGCAGCGGTAGCAATAGTAGTGGCAATAGTAGTAGGAGTAGCAGGAGTAAAAAGAACAGCAGTCACTGAGGTAGGGAGCAGCAGACAGCTCCCTGAGGGCCTGGACAGTGACTGCTGGAGCATCTGCTGGAGCCCATGTCCTGACTTCTGACTGCCTCGTACCCACCACATTGTTCTGGCATTCTGCCTTCACCTAAGGGACTTTAATTCCTGCCTCTATTTTCTGCTTCCTGAAAGAGATTAGCTAACACCAAAAGGAGGGATCCCAAAAGGCCCTGCGGGGTGACGGGGTGTTCATCAATGGTGGCTACTATTGATGGTGCCCAAGGAGGCACCAGGCCTCGCTGTGTCCTGCTAAGCCGGGCCTGAAACGGGGCTCGTTTGTGGTATGCCCTTGGGGGATGGTGTGCAGACCCTCTGCTTTGTGACCAACAGGCAGACTGCCCTGGGAGCGGTTTATTCCAGGCTAAGTCGGCTGGGACAGCAGTATAGACAGAGCTGATGCAGACTCCACAGCCACCTGGGCACAGCCTGATTTCATGCTCTCTCTCCCTACAGCTCCCCGATGTCTGTGTTCGTCTCCTGAAGGAGGCCCCGTAGAGCTGAGCTTGCTTGGTCATTTGGTACTGTTGTCCAGCCCCGGAGCAGAGCAGCGTAGTGACCCACTCAGCCTTCCTCCTCGAGGTGCCTTATACTGGCTTAGTTCCAGAGCTGGAGAAACATGGTCTGGCCTGACACCAGAATGTGTGGTGAGGGGGAACAGCCACCATATGGCAGGGGATGGAGGAGGAGTTCTATGGGTCCCTTCTCCTTGGAATTCTAAGCTATGGGAAAGAGGTAGCTACAGTCTACACTGCACAACCTCTGTGCCTGGGCCTCTGCACTCTTTCTCCACAATCTGTGCAGACATTCTGGGGACTCAGTTGCATGAGGGCCAGCAGAGGGTGGCAGGGCACAGCCTGGTCCCCGTCTTTTCCCAGGCAGATCTGTTCTCAGCGGCCAAACTTCAGAGCTTTCTGGGACCATGATAAAGGTCCAGAGACTATAGACCATGGGGATCATGCTGAAGGACAGAGATAAGGGACCTCCTTCTCTTCCCTGCCTTGAAGGGGATGGGGAGGCAGCCCCTCCCTTGGAGACCTGTTAGCAAGTTTTGGGCCCATAATAAAAGGTCCAGGGGAAGGCAAAATCCCTATTTTTGACTTTGAGGCTGAGGAGGGGTCTTCCGGGGGCTATGAGGAGGTAAACAGGCCTCAGGCTGGGTGGAGAGGAGGGAAAGGGCATGAGGGGAAGATAGGTCAGTTGCCATGCCACAGCCGAGGGGCCTTTATTAGATGTTGAGGGCATGGAGAGGCAGGTGGGTAGAAGCTAGAGGTTGTGGCACACCTTCTCAGGGTGTAGTGGGGCCCGGATGTCCAGTTTGCGGGTCTTGCTGTCCTTGTCGATGATCTCCAGCCGCAGCTTGGGTAGACGCTTCTCAGCCTGGGGTGAGGGCAGTTCGGGGCTCTTGAGCAGCTGTTTGTCTGAGTCCTCCACAGTGATGCGCAGAGTACAGCCCCCCGGCAGCAGGTCTTGTTCATAGGCGGCTGCCAGCTGGTTCACGACACGGCGCTCGACCTGTAGGTGACAGGTGAAGAGCTCATCACTGCTGGGGCCGTGGCCTGGAGCCCAGGCTCTATCACTTACTGCCAGGTCAAGTCAGAAAGCTCTGAGCTTCAGCTTCCCCCTTGGCAAAGTGGGGCTAACCACACACAGCTTGCAGGACTACGCTAAAGACTCAATGACGTCAGTTTCTGAGGTTCCCAACTTAGTTCCTCACTCCTGGCAGGGGTTCATACTTGCTTATCCTCCAGGACCAGGGTTTTACTTGATCATCTTCTGGTTTGGGTTCTGAAGGGGCATCTGCTCTGGGTATGGACTATTCCAGGCTGGGAGCCCAGGGCGGGGCGGGGGCATGGGGGGAAGGAGGTGTGGAGGTGCCTTACTTCTCTCAGGCTCCAGTGCTCACCTCATGCTTGATGGAGCGGGCGCCATAGTGCACATTGTAACCGTCGACCAACACGTCTGCCACCTCGCGGTCCCAGAGCAGTGTGATGTTGTGCCTTTGCTTGGCCTGAGATAGGTCAGATACGAGCATGCCCACATGTGGCCCAGTGCTTTCCATCTCTCACCACTCTGGCCTGAGGCCCGGGACTGTGAGTGACTGTGTGCCCCCAGGGTCAGTGTCCCACACCACTGTGCTCCATGCCTCTAGGGTGGTGGTGCTTCCAACCCCGTGTTCCCTGATTTCCAATGGGCAGATGACCCAACCCCACCCATGGGCAGTTCCTGCTCTTACTCTCTTGGCCCAGAAGTTCAGTTCCTTGTTGACAAGTTGGATGAGCTCTGAGTGGCAGAAGGGGAGGAAGTAGACAATCTCGTTGATTCTTCCCAGAAACTCATCTCTCCGGAAGTGAGCCTGCAGGGCCGGGTTAGGGGTGGGTGAGCTCTGTGACCCAGAAGGGGTAAAGGGAATTACTGGACCCCAGCGGGGAAGACTAAGGATGGCTAAGGGGATCTTCCCATCGGAGACTCCAGTAGGAAGGACAAAGACCTCTTACTTTCAGGATGGGGCGTATCACATTCTCCTTGAAGTTCTTTGAGATGGTTATCTTGTCATTAATCTGGACATCCCCTGTGGAAAAAGAATCATAAACTGCCTACTCCCCATACCTAGGGAGCTCTGGGAACTGTGCCTGCCTCTTGCGCCCATTCATGAAAAGAGCTCTGGCCCTGCCCCCGATGGTCTGTGTGATCCTGGTCATGGTCTCAGGCTCTTTAGGCCTCAGCCTGGTCTCTACTTGAATGAAAGGATTGGACTGGGCACTTCCTGGGTCCCGTCCAGTTTTATGTGCTACAAATACAAAGCCTGAGGTTCCTTAGTGTAGCAGTTGTGTGAAGGAGGGAAAGATGGGGACAAGAGTCAGGACCAAGACTTGAGTTCTGACTTGGAGGAGGGGTTGGAAGGTTTGTTTCCAAATAGAAAGGTGACAGATGTGGCCTCCTGCCTGATGTCATCCTTGCCCCCAGGAGCCGTGCTGTGGTCTGGGTACTTGCCCAGGTGCCCAGACAGCTCAGGCCGTGTGCCATACCAAGGTTTTCGGCGATACGGGTACGGCTCATCTCCAAAGCCTCTTGCCTGAGCTGCAGCGCGTGCTGTGCAATCTCGTCACTGGCCACATTGGAGGTCATGATGAAGATGGCATCCTTGCAGTCGATAGTCTTCCCTTTTCCATCCGTCAGCCGGCCCTGGGAAAGAACCATGACTGCACAGTCAGGAAGTGCTAAGCCTGGACACCTCTTCCAGGAGGTTTCTCCAGAACCCCCAGCTGCTCACTCCTCCCGGTTCTCCCTGCCCTGGGCTGCAACTGTTCCACCGGCTGAGAGTGACTCCAGTCAAGACTGAAGCTCTGTTTATCATCCATCAGTGCCCCTCATTCATCTCTGGCACCCCAAAAGTCAGCCCGATTAAACATGCATCCATCCAACGCACTTTCTTGGAAGCCCAACTGGGCCAGGCTCTGTGTTGGGGCACTGGGGCCTCACTGAGCCTTTGACATGCTTCTTCTTCTTTTTTAAACAAGGTTCCTTGTTTTTTTGTTTTTTTAAGATTTTTAATTTATTTATTTGACAGAGAGAGACACAGCGAGAGAGGGAACACAAGCAGGGGGAGTGGAAGAGGGAGAAGCAGGCTTCCCGCTGAGCAGGGAGACCGATGCGGGGCTCGATCCCAGGACCCTGGGATCATGACCTGAGCCAAAGGCAGATGCTTAACGATTAAGCCACCCAGGCGCCCCAACATGCTTGTTTAAAAAAAAATGACACTCAAGAAACCAGGAATGACAATTCATTGAGTTAAGTGTTATAAGGGGAAGCCCAGGTCACTGCAGGAGTTCAGAGGAGGGTATTTTATATGGCCATTGTGAAGACTAATATGGTCATGTGGGTTAAAAATCCTTAGTCAGCCAAGCTGTGCAAATGTTCCGAACTGTTGTTATGACAGCAGACATGTAATATATATTTGTTGTATCAAAATGAATGAGATGAATTGAAACAGGTATAATCTCTGCAACTTAAAGCCATCCTTTTGCCTGACAGAGAGGGATAGAAAATAAGGCTCCTCCTTTAACCAATGTGGGAAGAGTCCTTGGAATCTTTAGCTCTTTCTAGAAGCGACACAGATGAAAGAAAGCATCTATACTGGAGACAGATGCACTGAGGAAAGAGAAAAGGAGCAACAGCAGGGAGAAGAGACAGAATGAGAGAAGAGAGAAGTATAGCTATCTGGGGCCATGCAGTTCAAGGGCGAGGAGCTCCCACCCACTCAGCAAACAACAAGGCTGTATCACTGTACAACAGTTCTTTACAGTCATTTATGACAAAAGCAACGGTCAGGGCCTCGCTGAGCAGAACTGATGGAGTAACAACAGTGGACAACAATGGGCCACTTCTCCTTGCACCACAGGTACCCTGCTTCGTGTTCTCTTGTGTCCTACTGCACTCCTCCCACCAAGCACAATTCCTGCCAGGCCAGAGGACATGGCTCTGAGGACACGTCACTGACCCCAACCTGTCTGCTCCTGCCTGCCCCAGCCTCAGCTGGTAGCTAGTCCTCCTCAAGCATTTCCCTTTCCCTGGTGGTATGGACCTGACTCAGGCTCAGTCCTTGCTTCTAAAGCCAAAGCAATGGCAGACCAGCCCTGGCCCCCAGAGGCAAAAGGAGAAGGGATGTGCATTAACTTAGTACCTACTCCATGCTGGGCATGGTACCTGGTGCTTTTTAGCCTTGCTTTATACTGGCCCTTGGCACAGGCTTCTTAGATTTGTTTAATTTGAGAGAGAGCACGTGAGCAGGGGGAGGGGCAGAAGGAGAGAAATCCTCAAGCAGACTCCCTGCTGAGCATGGAGCCCAACACGAGGCTCGAAAGGGGCTCAATCTCAAGACCCTGAGATCATGACCTGAGCTGAAATCAAGAGTCAGATGCTTAACCGACTGAGCCACCCAGGCGTTCCTCAGGCCTCTTAGAAAGTGTCAGTTCCAAGGGGATCAATTCGAAGGGGCCTTGAGGTCCAGGTCCTGATTTCGGTCCCTGCCTTGGGGTGGGAAGAAGGGAAGGCAAGGGTGCATGTGGATGTTCTTGAGCTTTTGCCATTGGCGTCCCTGATTATGAGTAACAGATCAACAGAATCTACTGAGGGCAATTCTGGTTCTGGGGACCTGGTCTCTGCAGAGGGGTGTGTGTGTGTGTGTGTGAGAGAGAGAGAGAGAGAGAGAGAGAATGTGTCCAAATGTATGCATACGACACTCCTCGCAGAGCTCATTCCCGAGGACGGAGTACACACGCTGCTATACTGGCCAGAACAACAACCAGCGGCAATTCCACTCCAGGATCAAAGCCCTGTTTTTTTTAACTGGGCCTGGGGATGGGTCCCAGGTGGGTGAGGGGAGCAAACACGGTGTACGACTGACCCAAGGGGTGACTTTCACAGGGTTCATGTCTCCTCTTCCTCAGAGTCCTTGGCAGTAAGGACTGCCAAAGAGTCCTCCCCAGAGAGGGAGCTGTCACTGTGCCACCCCTCAGCAATGACAGGGTGGGTGTGACTGCTACCCCAGGGTTGTAGGGGCTGCTTTCCCACTGCTTCTGTCCTTGGAGGGAGGCACAGGGGCAGGCTTGGCAGGGGCCAGTGTCCTCCTGAGACTTCTGCCCTGCGCGGCCGGCTCTGGGGCCACCTGGGGTTTTACTGAGAGCATTCGGGCTTGGGAGAACTGAGCTGGGTGGGAATGGGGGGGCTTCCTTCATGCCCCGAGACTGGATCAGGTGCCCTTACAACTTATCCTAGTGCAGCACGTACCACAGTGGGCTGAAGTGCTTTTTGCTGCTGGCCTCCCTGACTCATTCATGAACACTGAGGCAGAGACTGTGTATTGTGTGTCCCCTCTGCCCCACACCGAACCACATTCCCTCTTTGACTTTCCTGATAGGTCACAAGGCTCTGTGTTAGCCCTCTCTTCTTCTCTGCATACTATACACCCCCTAGTTGAGAGATCTCATCCTTTCCTGTGGCTTCTCTTACCCTATCTGTGCTGACACATTCCTCAATCTTTGCTTCCAGTCCAGATCTGTCCTGCGCTCTGGACTTCTCCAACTGATGGCCGGCCTCTTAGACACCTCCACCTGGTCGTCCTTCAGGCATCTCATTTTCAGCAATTTCAAACCTCGGCTCCTCTTCTTCCTCACCAATTGGCTGCTTGTACTCCTGGGCTCCCTGCCTCAGCTGAAGGCAGCAGCGGCCGTCCAGTCACCCAGGCCAGAAATCCTGCAGCTGGCCACCCTCGGCCCCTCCGTCTCCCCTCACATTCAATCCCTGAGTCCTGCACAGTCGGCCTTCTGGGAGTTCTGGCCAGCCCAAGGCCCTGCTTTCGAGCAGGCGTCCCCACATCTAGCCTGGATACTTCAACAGCCTCCTTGCTACTCCCCTTCTTCTTTCCAGTCCATTCTCTCACGGTTGTCTATAGGATCTTTATAAAGTGAGAATCTGGCCATGTTTCTCTCTTGCTTAAAGTCTTTCAAGGCTCCTTATGATCTAACAAGTAAACCCACACTCCTTCGCCTGGGATCATAACTGGTCCCTGCCAACCTTACCCACTCACCTCTACTGTTCTGCTCTTACTTCCCTTTTGCAGTTGCACGGTGCTGAGCAGCTACAGTTCCCTGGACAGACCAGGATGCCTCATGCCCCTGTGCTTCTGCACAGTAGGAGTCTGCTGCCAGCCCTTCTCCACTCTGTTCACCTAGAACCTCCTCAGTTATTCTCAGAAGGTATGCTGAATTACTGTTGAATTAAGTTACTCAACAAAGCATTTCCCTTGACTTTGTGTGCTCTGGGAGTGGTTGGAGTGAGTAAGACAAGGTCCCTGTCCACAAGAAGCCCATAAGCATAAATCTAAGTACTCTCGGATGGCAGCTTTGGTCAATGGAACCAAGGGCACAGACTTCAGAAATGGTAGTAGGCTGGCAGAGGCTGTAGGAAGGTAGTCAGTGGAGTGACAGCAGCAGGGGACGGGTAGACAGGGCTTATATGGAGGTGGTAACAACTTGGAGGTGGCGCTTGTTGTATCTCAGTCAGTAGCTGCCTTCCCTCTTTCTGGGCCAAGAAGGGCATCAGAGGTACCTCTGCAGAGATGTCAGAAGCGGCTGTGTCCACAAACCCTGAGCTGGGCCCTCCCTTCCTGTGAAGGCTTCCCTGCAGATCTACCTCTCTCTTCTGGCCCTAGCTGCGTGGTAGTTATTATTGAAGCTGCAGGCTCTGCACTGAACTGCCTGGGCTCCCATCCTGGACTCCCTCTTGCCAGCTGCATGCCCATAAGCCAATCACTTCTCTCACTTTACTTCAGTTTCCTCCTCTTACACAGAGGCAGTAACAATAACCACCTTCACAGGGATGGTGGGAGGATTCGATAAATTGATACAAGTAAATGTTTTAGAACAGTGCCTGGCTCATAAAGTCAAAAATATCAACTATTATCATGTCTCCTTTCCATCCATCTACTAGGCAGGGAGCTCCCAGAGAGCAGGACTGGGTCTGGTCCATAGCTGTGTACCTGAATCCCATCAAGAGACTGGAACGAGGTGGGAGGTCTCAGAGCACATGTATGGGTAACTGAATATGTGACCTTTGAAGGACAGGCCTTCATTCCTCAGCGGCTGGTCTGGGGACAGGGAAGAGCTGGGGAGCTAGGAAGACAGCAATAAAACTGGGGCAGGGACAAGGATGCTGGGCCAGGTGGGGAAGATGATGGGCAGCTGTGGGTATGTCTGGATCTGGGTCTTCCTAGCTTGGTACCTGGTGTGCTATTTGGTCCAGGAGAAGTCCCTTCCTGCACTTGAGTACACTTGCGACATGGGACGCAAAACCCCTTCCTGTTGTCCCAGGGCTGTAGGGGGCTAAATGGAAAGGTAGGCTGGACTCCATCTGGACACATGTTGGCTAATATAGCTCCTGTATGGGAGCAGGAGAAGCCTCATGCCCAGTTCTGCAAGGCCCCTAAAGGAGGTCAACCCCTCCTACGATCATAAGTCTCTCTCCTCTGCGTGAGGTAAGGAGTGGCAGAGAGAGGGAGAACTGGGACTCTGGAATCAAATGTATCTGTGGCCCAAACATGGTTCCTCTGCACAGTAGCTCCATGCCATGGGCAAGACATTTATAACCTCTCTGAACCTGTTTCTTCTTCTGTAAAAAATGAGGGTTTCTACTCTGCCTGCTATTGTGATGGCTGGCAATGGCGTCTTTAGCCTAGTACACAGAATGTGCTGAAAAAGAAAGGAGTTTTTTTCATTTAGAGCTCACCCCACCAGCAGGAGACTGTCTAGTTTGTGATGAGCCTGGAGCTCCTTGAAAGAAAAGGGCTCCATGAGCCAGAAAGGTTCTTGGAGCTTATCTTGGATCCAGCCTCCTTGTTTGTCACATGAGGCCCCTGATGCCTAGAGATGGAGCAGAGTTGTAACTAAAAATTCAGGTCTGTCCTGGCACCTCTGCTCCGTGTCTCTCTAGAAGGCAGCCTGGGCAGCCACAAAAACTCTTGGGTAGAGCTGGTTTGTCCGCAAGTGCTCAGCCTGGACCCTGGTCCAGAAAGGGGGCAAAGCCACATCTGCTAGGTGACCGAATGTACACATGTGGAAGTGGCAAGTGAAGGAGGGATCAGACAGGCCTCTGGGCCCTTGATTCTTATTGTTCATAGCTCACCATACTCCCAGATGTCCCCTACTCCATCCTAGCCCAAAGTGACTTTCACCTCATCAAACAGCTGCAGCATGATGGTGAGCACATCTGGATGGGCCTTGTCCACCTCGTCGAAGAGCACCACAGCATTGGGACACTGCTTCAGCTTCTTGGTCAGCTGGCCACCCTCCTCATGTCCAATGTAGCCTGGTGGGGACCCGATAAACTTGGCCACCTGGAGGAAGGAAGGAAATATACTGGGAAGGCTGTTCTATACTTTTAGTTTCTGATATGGGCATGCACAGGAAAATGGCTTCACTCATTAGCAGTGCCTGTCTCAACAAGGACAGTCGGACTTTTTTCTGGGGTGGTAGGAATCCTGCCGTAATGGAAGAGCCTACAGATCTTCTCTAGGTTTCTTTTTCAGAGCAAGTCCTATGCAAAACAGATCAGTGACCCTCTTGCACACATATGCCCCCAAAGGATGAATCCCAAGGCTGCTGGAATTATCTCAGGTCCATAAGCAAGTCACAACAAAATACCCAGGCAAAGTCTTGTTGACTTCCAGGCCCTCCAAACCACACTTCAACGAGGACTCTCACTTACCTCATGCCGCTCTTGGAACTCAGACATGTCCAGCCTGATGAAGCCCTGTGTGAAAACAAGCAGGAATCCATTTGGAGGCAGGAAGGTATAGAGGGAAGGGTTAAGGAGGAGCACATTTCAAATATCCCTTAGGCTTTCAGACCACACCAATGCAAGATCTTCTATCCCATTCTCATATATTTTTTATCTCCTGGCCTCCTTTTCTGTCCACTCATCTCCCGCATGATACCCTCATTCCCTACCTCAATAAACCCAAGTCATGTCCCTGCTCTTCTAAATCTGGCTCAGAATGTCTCTTTTTTCAGGCTTCTACTGGTCTGATTACCACGTCAGGATGGTGAGGGCATCCTGTGTGTGCTGGAGCCACAGCAGCGAACAAGTCTTGGTCTCCATCCTTGAGGAGAACCCCTCAAGTGGGGCAGGTAGACATGGACAGATTCAGTTACAGTCATGGACAGATTCAGTTACAGTCAGTGTGGACCATGATGAGAAGGAAGGGTGCAACAAATACCCAGCCAGCTCCGTGGTGCCCTCAGCTTTGCAGGTCTTTGTGGGTACATGCCTCTTTGTTTTATTTATTTTTTATTTTATTTATTTATTTATTTTTTTTTAAGATTTTTTATTTATTTGACAGAGAGAGATACAGCGAGAGAGGGAACACAAGCAGCGGGAGTGGGAGAGGGAGAAGCAGGCTTCCTGCAGAGCAGGGAACCCGATGCGGGGCTCGATCCCAGGACCCTGGGATCATGACCTGAGCCGAAGGCAGACGCTTAACGACTGAGCCACCCAGGCGCCCCGCCTCTTTGTTTTAGATTACGTTTCTTTTGTGCTAAGAAATCTTTTATTTTATTTATTTATTTATTTATTTATTTATTTATTTATTTATTTATTTATTTTTAAAGATTTTATTTATTTGACAGAGAGATAGACAGAAGAGCACAAGCAGAGGGAGTGGCAGAGGGAGAGGGAGAAGCAGGCTCTGCACTGAGCAGGGAACTCGATGCGGGACTCGATCCCAGGACCCTGAGATCATGACCTGAGCCGAAGGCAGACGCTTAACCATCTGAGCCACCCAGGCGCCCTTATTTATTTATTTAAAAATTTTTTTTTAAGATTTTATTTATTTATTTGACAGAGAGAGAAATAGCGAGAGAGGGAACACAAGCAGGGGGAGTAGGAGAGGGAGAAGCAGGCTTCCCATGGGGCAGGGAGCCCAATGTGGGGCTTGATCCCAGGACCCTGGGATCATGACCTGAGCTGAAGGCAGACGCTTAACGACTGAGCCACCCAGGCGCCACTCTTTTGTGCTAAGAAATCTTTTAATTTATTTACATTTCCTCATTTCACTTAAAAGCTATCCATAAGGCAGCTTGTAGCCCATCTCTCTCCACCACGGGGTCTAGGAGTGATCTGCTGGGAACTGGTCCTTTGGGGTGAGGTGCAACCATGATTAGCCCCAGGGAAAGGGTATGTGTGCATATATGTAGCAAGGGGGTTGCAAGTTCACTCTTTTTCATGACAAATTTAGGGATTTATATTCCCAGGTGCCCTGTCCCTCCACCCAGACCAGGGTTCCCCAGGCTCCTTTCCCACTGGCACACATTTCCACCTCAGACAGTGCACTCACTGAATGCACTTCTGAGAGCTGGGGATGACAGGGCACCAAGACCCTAGAGAGAGGTAGCTATCTCTGTCTGAAATTCCAGCCACGTTCTAGCACGGCTGCTGGTCAGAAATGTTAGTTTTTCTGTGTCACTCTGTACCCGAGGTACAGGGCAGCAGAAGAGCTCTGGCAGGGACCTGGCTTCCAGTCCCAGTTCGGCCACTGTCTGCGTGGCGTTGGGCATGCTGCCTCCCCTTTTGGACCTGCAGTTCCTTCTTATGGAGCACAGGCCCTTGTTTCCTCTCCCTGCCTCCCCAGGGTCCTGAGAACACCTAATCCAAGAGGTAGGTAAGGGCTTGGAGCAGTATTAAGGCCAGGTGGAGGTTATCGCTGCGATCAGAGAACATGGGGCATCAGCCAGCAAGCATTTTCAGAAGGTCCTAGGCAGCTCAACCAAGACAAACACAGGCTTGAGGAAGAACGGGAGCATGAACATGAGGAAGCTGGGCATGCTTTCCAGAGGGAGCAATGCCCTCTAAGCCCCAAGATGGGTACCTAATGATAATAGCTGACAGTCCCTAGATGCTTATTAAGTGCCTGGCAATGTTCTAAACAAGCTATACAGAGCTCAGAACATGTACAAGTCTATGAGGTAAGTATTATTATCATTTCTACCTTCCAGATGAGAAAACTGAGTCACAGATTAAAGTAACTTGCCCAAAGTCCCTCAGGTTTTACAATTTAGCTCCAAGCCTGTGCTCTTAGCCACTTAACTCTACTGCCTCATATTTCCTGCTGTCAATCAGCTCTTGGCAGTCTTCACCTGTAAGTTCTGAGCTTTGTGCCCTGATGTCAAGTGTCCCAGGACACCAGAAGTATAGACTCTAATGATCACTTATGTCAAGTGATGTGGGTTCTCATCCTAGTTCTTCTACTGATTTGCTGAGTAACTTTGAACAAGTTCTAGGGCTTGATTTTCTTAGCTGGAATACTTTTGGTTTCATATGATCTTAACTTAGGGTTATCTAGAAGTGAGGCAACAATTATGATAGTAATATCCAACATGTACTGATTGCTTACTATGTGTGAACGGTGTTTAGCAGTTTACATGATCACTTTTAACCTTCATAATAATCCAATGAGATAGGCACCATAATTGAACCCATTTTACAGATGAGAAAACAGATGTGAACAGAGATCCCAGCCAACTCCAGAGTAGTTTCGAGTTGGGGTTTGAACCCAGGCAGGGGGACTCAGACCCTTGCTTCCGATCCCTCTGTCACAGTGCCATGCTAACTGCCATCTTCAGGGCGCTACCACCCTACCTCAGGAGAAGATCACAGAGCCCCATTAAGGTTCTCTTTCAAGGATTATTAAGCCTAATAATGGAAGTTAACAAAACTGCTCAAATTTGGGAGAAAGAGCAGAGGCTAATGAGAGAAAAAAATTAAGCCAAAGATCTGATAAAGAAATTACACAAATGTGCAAATGAGACCTTGTGAGGCAGCCAGGTCCAGAGGCATTAGTGACCTTTTACAAATGAGGCACTAAGGATCTGAGAGCCGGAACTCAAATCCAAGCCACCGAGTCCCTGGCCAGTGTCACTGAGGGTGTCATTGAGCCAGTGCTACCGCACAGTTCCTCTCCAGCTCCTGTGACACGGCACTTTCTGTACATCGTTCCTTGGGTCCTGCTAGCGTCGGGTACAGTCCAGGTCTCTCGGGTTTTGAAGGCAGGTCTCACACTGGCCTGTTACATGGCCAGAAGATGTCTGTGCTAAACACAGACTCTGCACGGAGTTGGTACAAGAAAGTTTTACAGAGGCACCACCTAGGATTTAAAAATTAAATACACAGATGGTTGTACTGGGTTTCTCATGCTTCACATCTCCCTATTTGACACGGGAACAAATTGACAAGTTTACATTTAGCCTCCTACCGCAGCTAGGAACGATGGCATTGAAAGGAGAGTTGAGAGACTGGATTCTGATTTTACTTCTTCCCCTCACAAGTGACCCTGGACGGGCCTGCCCCTACATGCTATAAGGTCTCAGTCTTCTCATCTGCAAAGTGGATCTAATTCAGCATCTATGCTATCTTCTTCATGGGGTCAAACAAGACGGTTGATGGGGTGGTACCATGGAAAGTACAACATGATGAATAAACAGGAGATCAGGGCTCAGGCGCTGACTTAAGTGTGCCACAGCCTGAGCTCACTGTGACTCAGTATCTTGCTCCATGCTCACGACAACTTTAGACACAGGGCTGGACAGCTGCATTTTGAGGTGAGAGAGCTGAAACTTGGAGGAGTCAAGCAACCTGCCTAAGGCCAGGAGAAAGTAGAACTGGAGCCTGTGCTGAAGAATGGCTGGCTCCAGGGCCTTGACCGCCAGCCCACCTCCTCCGAGGGGTGATGGTGTATTGCAGGATGCCATCCCCATGCTTTCAGGAGCCCCTGCACTGGTGTCAGTCGGACCCTTGTTCAGATGTGCCGACTGAAAATGACCTGCCTCATCAGTCTCTTAGCAAGCCCCGTCTCCTTTCTACACCAGCAAGTCAGCTGATGCTTTCCTTCTTCTTCCACTGTGTATGAAGACATATTAAGACGGCTTGGATAAGGAGATTATAATTTGTAATTAAATATTAACCTTTCTGACAGTATTAAAATTAAACCACTCAGAATTCTTCATCCCTAATCAGGTGGTTCCTGCCCGTAACTGTATCTTCCCTAATAGTCTTGCTAGTTTATGGCTCTTTCCAGAGTGCTAATTGTTTCAATCGCTGCCAACCTGATGAATTGTCTTAAAAATGCTATTTCAGTTGCAGCATATTAGCATGCCATGTGCTGCTTCTTGCCTACTGCCTGTCAAGTGGGTCTGCTCTGGGCTTGGCTGAGGCAGAGCATAGCTACTGGCAGAGCCAGGGAGGCTTCAGAGCCTTTGGCCAGTTATTAGGCAGAAGGGGGCCGAGGATGTGGCTCAGGAGGACACAGCCTGAGTGACCTATGTTGTTTCTGTGGCTGCCAGGCCCTCAGGGAGGGGGCAAAGGGGCAGTGAGGCCAGGAGCAGGATGGAAGGTGGCTAGGACTCTGCTGCTGGGGCAGTTCTGGCTGAGAGGCCTGAGTAATTCCTCACTGCCTCAGCTGTGGAGGCCTTCCACAGAAATTAGCCAAGGGCATCTGGGGTCACGGGCAACCTCAGGTGGTGGGCAGGGGTACCTTAGCCTCCAAAGGGGAAGGCTGGTGGAATAATGTTTGGCTTTAGTTGAAATGTTTCTGCAATCTTCGAGGATGGCTCTGACATTTCACTCTGCAGGAAGATGCTTCCAGTCACCCCAGAAAGTCAAATTAAGTAGGCCTTGAGAGCCTGAGCCTAAAAAAATATGGGATAGGGACAGGTCTCTCTTGTGGTGAGTCCAAAGGCTCCAAAGTCATGGGGAAAAGGGGACTGTGACCACTCTGCAGCTTAGGGCCTAAGAAATCATGTTTAAAAGCTCATATACAGGGGCACGTGGGTGGCTCAGTCAGTTAAGTGTCTGCCTTCGGCTCAGGTCATGATCCCAGGGTCCTGGGATTGAGCCCCTCATCGGGCTTCCTGCTCAGTGGGGAGCCTGCTTCTCCCTCTCCCACTCCCCCTGCTTGTGTTCCCTCTCTTGCTGTGTCTCTCTCTGTCAAATAAATAAAATGTTAAAAATAAATAAATAAATAAAAGCTCATATACAGGGGTGCCGGGGTGGCTCAGTCAGTTAAGCAGCTGCCTTTGGCTCAGGTCATGATCCCAGAGGCCTGGGATCGAGTCCCGCATTGGGCTCCCTGCTCAGCGGGGAGCCTGCTTCTCCCTCTGCCTGCTGCTCCCCCTGCTTGCACTCTCTGACAAATAAAGAAAATCTTAAAAAAAAAAAAATAAAAGCTCATATACAATGGAGAGAAGCAATATGGCATCTTGTCATTCCTACTTGTTTTCTTCTACAGGCCCCAAGACTCTCTCTGGCACAGCCTTGACGTACTAGATAGTAATAATATGTTTCCAAAGCTGTTTCCCTTTCTGGCCTGAGTTCCTCAGGGCAGGGGAGTGTCCTAAATGTTGAGTTATCAGGATCTAGTACAATACCTGGCCAGAGTAGATGCCTGAAAATGCATGGATGAATCTCACTGGGTTCTCCCAAATGGCCCAGCAGTCAGGCAGGGCAAGGATTATTTTTCCTGTTTCATAGATGAATAAACTGAGGTACAAGGAGGTTGGATAACTTGCCCAAATTCCTGGAACAATTGGTGGCCAAGCTGAGGCCAGACTGAGGCCTGCTTTCTGGACCAGGGTCCATCTTTTTGATTCACTATTGCCACATTCAGGGAGCCTAGAATTTTGGGGGGCTAGCAGTAGTGGCGAGGCCTACATCCCAGCTCTTACCTTTTTGGCATCTTTGTGCATATATTTGGCTGTCTGCTTGGCCAGCTCTGTCTTTCCTAATAAGAAGGAAAGGAGAGGTGTTGGGTTAGAACCAAATGATTGTCTTCTGGAATGAAAGAATATTAGAAATGCATGGACATTGGAAATAATATATTTTATGGATGGGCTCAGGGAGGGTCGGTGACTCTCCCAGTCATTGGAGGGAGAATTAAAGGTGGAGCTGGAAACAGAATCAAAGTCTGCATTGCATCTTGATTTTTCTGGGGATGGAGACTGAGACTTTTTTTCTAATGGCAGCATCCTAAGAGTGGGAGGTGGACTCTTATAATCCAGAGCCAACTTGTCCTTTGAAGCCCAGTGCAAACCTTGCCTCTGATAGGAGCACCGTGACTTCCTGGTCCCTGCACTGAATCTCTTTAGACACTCATGGTCTTGCCATCCAGCCAGGCCTTGGAGCCATAGGCTGAACAGAGGCTGGGAGGGATTAAGAACACCTCTCCTCGGCCTCATAGCCTTTCTCTGTAACATAAAGAAGGAATGACAATACCAAAGTGGTGGCTCTGAAGGGCCATTTGGTATGATGGCCAAACCTTTGGAAGTCACTCTCTAGCAGAGGAAATCAAGTTCTACAGTATCATGGTGAGATGGAGGTAACCTACTTCTGGGGGAGTGGTAGGTCCATAAAGATGCTAAGAGGGAAAGAAGAGACAACAAATGCATGAAACTCCCCATCAGGACAATGGTGGGAGGAGGTGGTGCAGGTGGGGGTTCTGTGAGGGTGGAGAGTAAGGGGGTGAGATTGCCTCAGATAATCCAGCCAAACTGACTAGAGAAGTCCCCAATGCATTTGACTGAAACCAATTTTGCGATGCACTCCACACTGTGCTGGCCATATGAGGGGCTTTCTTTAGCTTCCTAGAAGGTTATGCCCCAAGCTGCACTAAATAAGGTTGGTGTGCTGGGCAGTGGAGGTGGTTCAACTATTTCAAAGGGCAGCTCTGGGGATGCAGAGTAGCCGGACCAGGGCTAACAAACCCCAAAGGGCCTGGTCGTCCAGGTGACGTAGGCCCTGCACCACAGCTTCCAGAGAGAGGGGCATAATTCCAGCTGTTCCTAATGTGACAGATAATCCTCTTGCTAGCTCTGTAATTTGGAGGTGGTTGTTTTCAGAGCTGGAGTTGTATAGCAGTGGATTGTGTGACCCTGGCCCATAGCAGCTAGGGTTCCCCCAGCTCTCCTCGCCCCCTTGCCAATCTGTTCCCAGTTACCTATTCCAGATGATCCCAAAAAGAGGAAGACCAGAGGGTGTTCTTCGTCGTACCAGCCATTCTCCTTCCTCCGGATCGCTAGGGCCAAACACACAAGATTGGGGAGGGCGGGGTGGACAGGGAGGGAGGCAGATAAATCAATGACACAAAAGGCAGGATAATTATCACTAAGTATACAATATGTTTTACTGCTCTGCGCCCACTCAAAGTCCTCACTACCATTAGTGCTGCCTAATCTGATTAGCTGGCAAGGCCCCTAGAGACACCTAATCAGGTTAGCATGGATTTGGAAAGCTGCCCAGAGCAGATTTCGGATAAAGTTTTCCAGGATGAGCACTCAGCGTTGCCAGGGAAACTGAAAGGCGGGTGGATGGTGAATGGAGGGGTAGGGGGCTGGTGAAGGAGAATTCAAGAGGAACTTTAGCTCTCAGATGGCTGGTTCCCCATCTACTCACCACTGGTGGGAGACTGAGCCTGCCTCCTATGCAAACAGAAGAGAGAGAAGCCCATGGCAGGCCCTAAGGGATCTGGGGTGTGAGCTCTGGACTCTCCCATTTGGGGAAACCAAGATCTAGTCCACTGTCTGGAAGTATAGCCAAATGTACTTTCTGGAATCCAGTCAAGGGTAGTGTGGAGCTCAGGGCACAGACGGGTGAGCCACTCGGTTAGCACTGCCACTAACCATGGCCTCCAGTGGGGAGCAGTGCTGGGGGAGTGGGACAGATCTGTACTAGGTTCCCTGGGAGTTCAGCTCTGCTCGAGTGAGACCTGACCGCTCCTCTTCAGGAGGAAGTATATATATAATCAAGGGCTGTGCATTCAAGGTGAGGAAATTAAGTGCCTAACTACGGAGTGGGAGAGTCAGGCTCAGAGGCGTCACTCAAGCAGAAGAGCAGGGGGAGGAATGAGGCAGAACCATTAGAAGAACAACCATTTATTGAACATGCTATTTGCCAGGCACAACTGGAAAAACTGTCAACATTTTTTATTACTCAAGACCCACACAAACCTCATGAGAGGGGTATTATTCTCAATTCTATTATACTAAACAGGAAACTGAGGCAAAAGATAAAGAGACTTGCCCAAGTCATACAACTAGATTACTAGTTGACTGGTAGAGATGGTAGAGTCTCTTCTCTCTCTAAACATTTCTTTTTTTTGCTCATATACAGCTGCTTTAAAAAAGTGAGTATCAATTTGGGTTGCATTAATGGGAACATGGCAGTCAGAAGCAGGAAGGGACAGAGCACTGTGTTATGTCAGGGTTGGTCTGCATGTATGGCCTGGTTCTCAGAGTGTCAGGGGGAGATAAACAAAGGGATATATGTCAGAAGACAAGGCCTGAAAAACAAGTCAACTGAGAAAGAGTTGATGGTCTTGGGGAAGTACTGGCCAGTACTGAGGTACAAGGATCCTAAACGCTATACCGTGTGCTACCATCTGTATGGCTGGGTTCCAGAGAAGTAGCTGCGGAGGTCAGGGACGGCTTTCTGGAAGAAGTGGGACTGATGAGGGATCGCGGAGACTGGGAAGGATCTGGAGGGAAAAAAGGTGGCCAGCATGACATAGGTGGAGAGACAAGAATGAACATGAGTAGTTGTGGGTGGAGTCAGATTATGGTCTCAAATACCTGCCTTAGGACTTCAGGTCCGTGTTGTGGCCTTTCTCACCTCAAACTCAAATGCTGCTACCTAAAGATCTTTCTAGTTCTGGCCTCAGGAGGAACAGATGGAAGTGCAACCTCTTGGGAGATACCCCCTGAGAAAACACTCAAGTCCAGCCTCTCCCTTGGGCAAGGTCCCAGATCATCTCTAAACTAGCTGACCCAGCCCTATGGAAGGCTTGGCTCTCAGAGGAACCCACCAGCCTCACAGGTACCTGAAGGCTGGGGATGATGAGGGGTAGTCCAAGCCTGGCTGAGATGGGAGTCCCCAGTGCCCCGAGAGAAACAAGAACCCATGGGTGGGGTTTTTGGGGAGGCAGAGATATAAATGGCAAAGGCTAGACTTCTGTGGACACTCTAGGTAGATGTGTGTTGGGGCAGGGGTGAGAGAGGGATTATCTGAAAGGAATCACATTCTTCCAAAAGTTGTGTGAACTGAGAAGGTAGGTTGGAAAGAAGCTGAGCATGAACTGGGTTCAGGCTTCATGGGGTATCTGGGAGAGGCAGAAGTGCCCAGGCATCACTCAGACAGGTGGCCTGGGGGAAGTGGGGTTCCCCAGGTGTCAGGTACCTGAGGTTCTGATCTGGATTTCTCTTTCAGGAAAGCTTCCCAGCCACTGAGAGCTGCACACTGCTGGGCTATGCAGTTCAAAAACGCCATGGAGAAGGTGGAATTGGATTATGCCTGGGGCCACCTTTCCCCCTTCTTTTCTAATAATGCACCTGGGAGAGAGCTCTTTATAATGCCAGGCAGACTCCACTGCACAGCTGTCCCTGGCCAATTCTGCCAGACCCGGGGCATGAGTCTGGGGTGGGTTTGATCTGGCCCCCTGTGAAACAGGCGAAATGCCAACCATTAAACAATTACAACTCTGGATATTTCTAATAATATCTGAAGAGAAAAACGACCAAGCAGATGGAGTCCGACAGAATGAAAAATGGAAGCAGCTAGGAAAGACTGAGGAAGGCAGGCCCCCAGGGTGTGTGGCTGCCAGGGTGGCTGATGACCACGGCTGGGAGCCTTGAGGGTTCTGTCAGGCTGGGGCAGAGACACTGATGGGCCACTGGAGACGTGGCCATAGGTACTGATGTCTCACTGTGGACCAGCAAATGCAGCAACTTACTCCGCTAGACTTTTCAGTCTATTAAAAACTTCCATAGACATAACTTCATTTGAGCCTCATTATGAATCTACAAAGCTGGCAGGGCAGGGAATTTGATTCCCTTCTTCTTCTTCTTTTTTTTAAGTTTATTTAGTTTTTAGTAATCTCTACACCCAATGTGGGGCTCAAACTCACAACCCTGAGATCAAGAGTTGCATGCTCTTCCGATTCAGCCAGCCAGGCGTCCCTTGGTTCCCTTCTTACAGATGAGGAAATATGTGCGGAGAAGTTAGGTAACCTGCTCAAGGTTACACAGGTAAACAAATGAAGGCCCTGGGCTTTACCCTCAGCTCTGGCTAACTCGCGAGCCTGAACTTGTGCTTCAGGAGTTTAAAGAAAGGAGTCAGCCCTCCCCGGCCACAACACCTCCTCATACCCTAGCCTCACCCAGAAAACTTGTCTTTCTGTAGCTTCCAGTCTAGCTCATTCAGCCTTTGATACATGGCCTCAGGAGCCCCTGTCCTCTGACTGTCTCCTGACTACTCTCTGGGCTCGAGATGGTGTCAGGGTCCCCTGAGCAGGCAGCTCAGCCCCTTCCTTGGCCGGTCCCATCTCTGCTAGCTCCCACAGGCCCAGCTGCCTCTCCACAGGCTGGGCCAGCACCAGTGCCTCCTTGCTGTGTTCTTCCCCTTAGCAGAACGCCTTCTCCTGGCTGCACCCACCACTACCGGACCATCTTCAAACTCACATGCAGCAACCTTTTTGATGATCCAACCCCACCTCTACTCCATTAACTCCCAGGGTCTATATTCTCTGGTCCACTTCACCTACAGGGTGGTATGGTAGACAGGGTAGGAGTTATAGGATCTAGTTTGGAGTCCTGGCTCTGCCACTTTCTAGCTAACTGGCTTTGAATAATACACTCCTGTAGAGCCTTGGTTTCTTCAGCTATAAAACAGGAATGCTCAGACACATGCTATGCCAGCCCCACACGTAGATGAAATGAGCCCAGGGTTATGAAGGCACTCTGTATGAGCCCGATCTTCAGAAAAGTGCCAGCCACAGTAGTCACAGTAGCAGTGGCAGCTGTAGCGGTATGGGACACATACCTCTTTCATCCTCGTGCTAGTCCTGAGCAGTATTAACCTCCATTTTACCGAAGAGAAGATGGGGGCTCAGTGAGGGGCAGTGCAAGGCGTTTCATCCACCTGCGCCTTTGGTGTCCTGGAGGAGGGTGTGCTCAGGCTGGGTAATCTGTGAGAGCAGGTGCTAGGAGCTTCATTTCCTGAGGGACCCTTGGGACTAGCCCAGAGGTGGGATAATGCTTGCTGACTAAATGAATTAATTGTTGGTCTTTCTGGAATCACGAGGACGAAAAAACAGATACTTCGATTTCCATTCTACAGAGAAGAAGAGTGAGGCCTGGACCCGAGTCTCAATGCTCCTAGCAGTCATTACTACCCGTGGGTGAAGAAGGCTTCCTCTCTCTTCTTAACCCCTCTCCAGGGAGCCTTCTCCATCTGTGCAGCAAACAAGCTCTGAGCCAGGTGCTGGGCTAAAGAAAGGTCTGTGCCATTTAGATGAGCGCTGCTGTGTGGGATGGGAGTCCTGGGAGAAGTGAGGGAGATCCATTCGTGCCCGACTGACACCTGCCAGGATGATGAGGGGCCACTGCCAGGCAGTACGGGTGTGATGGACATTCCAGACAGAAAGACCCATCATGTGCAAAACCAAAGCGAGAGGAGACAGCTGCCTCCTCCTCCCATCCCAGGCCTTTGCCTCCGTCCAGCTCCAGGTTCTGAGGCCATCTGGGTGGGCTGACTCCTCCTTCCTGGTAAGTTCTAGTGATCTGGTGTGGGAGGGTTTTTTTAGCCTAACATGTTTGGAACATGTTTGTCCCATGCTTGTGGCATCTCTTAGGGGAACCAGTCCTTCAGAGGAACTCTTGTGGTTGAGTCACCTGAACATCTTTAGCAATCTCCTGTCTACAGCTTGTAGGTTCGGAGAGCACAGCAAGTGCTCAAGAAGTGTTTGCTGTCAGAATGGATACTGATTGGAACCTCAGGTTGGGAGGATGAGAGAACAGTTTTCTTCTTAGTCTCTAAGGATTAGTGTTTCTGAAGGCAAACTATTGCTACTGAGTGGTTACATATAAACAATGTAAATAGCTTTTGCTGAACACCCTCCACCCCAGGTGTGTGTGCATGCATGTGTGTGCTGGGGCAGGAATCACTGGAAGGAAGAGCACCACCCTTCCAGAAGGAGGCTGGGATGAGAATCTGTGTTGGAGAGAGGCTGAATGTCAAGAGGGGCTTAGGCTTCATTCACTCGAGTTTAGCCCACACGCCTGTGTGCCCAACCCTGGGGAAATGCTGAACGAGAGGTAGTTCCTGACCTTTGGAGAGAGACATTCAAAGAGATGTCCTGTGGTAAGTGCAGTGATGAAAGGTGTCCATGGGAAGCCCCAAGAACGGGCCCTGTGTCCTGGCGGGGGACTAAGAAGGCTTTCTGGAGAAGGCCTGGGTCTTGAGTATCTCGGCAGGCCAGGGAAAGGGCAGGATGGTGTGGACAACGAGAACATCTGAAGTGGTATGGGGTGGAGGTGGGACTGCAAGCAGTTTTCTAAATTAATCACCGCCTCGACATGACTCAGGGATGGCCTGGATGTATATTTTAGCTCAGAAACAGGACTCTGAGGGGGGTCCAGAAAGCTGCAGGGCTTGGGCAATTACGATTTTGGACTGTCAAAAAGGGAAGTAAAGCACGAAAGAGCCCACTGTGTGTCACGTGGCTGATGCTGAGATTCTGAATTCAGGCCAGACCCCAGCATGGAAAATGAGTTGTGATGGCTGAGCTTTCCTGAGGGAATTCATGGGCTTCAGAGTCAAGTGGGAACAGGTACAATGGGTGTTGGTGATAAGCCCCTGGTTAGAGGGAGCTGCAGGGAAGCTTCCAGGTGTGCAGGCTAACCCAGAGCGGGACTGGGGAATGGCCTGTCCACTGGAGGGGTCAAAGGTCAAGTAGTGTGAGTGTTGTTACTATTTCAATACACTCATGTTCCTAGTATGCTTGTGAGCTACTAGAGGGCAGGCTTACAGCTTCTCTCCTTTCCTCAGAGCACAGAGATGGACAGGGGCCCAACCAAATTACTTCAACAAACTGCACTACACATCTACTTCACGAAGAGTGCTGTGCCAGGAACTGGAAAAACAAAAATGATTCAGTCATGGTCTCTGCTCTCAGGAGTCTACAGTCTATTGCTCCTGAACTGAGTCAGGCTAAGTAAAAACCAGCCAGAGTGTGGGAGATGGGGTCAGGAAAGGGCCAGAAGCAAAGTTATTCCAAGCAGAGAGGGCAGCAGGGCAACGCCCACAAATGCAAGCAGATCAACACAGCACGTCCAGGGAAGCAGAAGCAGCCCGGTGTGCGTGCCGGCCGGGGGCGTGGGGCGCAGCAGCCCGGGTGGGCCTTGTACTCTGGGCTACAGCAGCAAGAGCCACCCAAAGATTTTAGACAGGGAAGTTTTCACATTTTACAAAGCTTACTCAGCTGGGGAGGAGAAATGATTACAGGGGAACGAAAGGAGGCAGGGAGACCAGGGAGGAGGCCACTACATGGTTCAAATGGGAAATCCTGAGGTCCTGAGCAAGGGCTGTGGTATTAGGAAAGGAGACCCATTTAAGAGGCAGGATGCTAGAACCTGATAATGTGATGGGCTGTTAGGGGTGAAGGAGAGGGAGAAGCCAAGGAACTAAGTTTTTATTTAAGAGACCAGGTGAATGGTGGTGCCTTTACTGAGGTAGGAGCACAGGAGGTGGGTAAGTAGGAAGAAGGGGGTGGAGTCTAGCCCTGAATGTGCTAAATAGACAGCTGGTTGCTCTTCTGAGGAGAAAGGTGAGACATAGAGGCTCTGAGCTCCCAGGAGGTCAGCCCAATGGGCTAGGTGTCCTCCCCCTCCCATGACTAAGAGTGGCTCTGGATTCTGGAAGGAGACCCTCACTTTCAGTGCCAACGCTCTGGCTTGTGGTATGTATGCTGGCCTTGCTTTGGCTCCCGTGACCCTAGAAGACCAGAGAGGCCATGGGGCGTAAGCTAAGGGGTTGGTGCTTTATCTCCTCCATTTGTAAGGCGGTAACTGTGCGCCAGCCTTGCTAGAAGCCCTGCAGCTGGGGATCACACTGATAAATTCACTGTATTACTTTGCACAAATCAATATCCCAGCACTTACCAGGGGTTGATGTGACCGAAATTGGTTTCAGCCAATTCGTGTGGGTAATAAATGGCCATTTATCAAATCAATTCATTCTGCGGCACTTCTCTGGCTGCCCATCCTCATGGTACCCCTGGGGTGCCAGGCTCCACCCAGCCAGTCCCTAGCATATATCTGGTGCTAGCCTAGAGAATCCAGAGAGGCCTGGCCTACCCCTCTCGATCCGCCTCTCTCTCCTGCACCTGCTTTAGTCTGGAGACTTTGAGGCACTGGTTGCTGCTTGCCTACCACAAATTCTGACCCAGAAAGTAACTGATGCTTCACCTGGGTTGGTAGGTGAACATTACCTGATCATTATCAGTGTGATCACCAGCCACAGGCTTCTCAGCTAGGAGGGCATACAATTACCACCATACAAATGGAGCAGATATACCAAGCCCACAGCTCAGGCCCTAATACCTGTCTGTCTTTTCTAGGGTCACTGGAAACCCAGCAGGGTCAACCTCCCTAACACAGGACAAGGCGTAGGGCCCTCCTGATCCGAAGCAGAGTTTGGGTAACAGAATGGAGCTTTGGGTAGAGGGAAGGTCTCAGGGCAGACATTCTGACAGCCCCTCGGAGGTGGGCAGCTGGATCATTTACTGCTTCTCTGGGCCAACGACAAGGAGAGACAACGTGGGTTACTTCAGAGGTCGGTGTAGGATCAGAGGAAGAGGCCAGCCTGGGGCTGGGACTATGGATCAGTCTTGGCTTGAAGGAAATAACTGTGGGCCTGATCTATAGAACATGCCCAACCCTAGACGGTAAACATCCTGAGGACAGAGACTAGAAAGAGCATGTGCTGTATTGTGAGAGCCTCACCCAGCTCACAGGTGAGGAGACTGGCACTCAAAGAGGCCGAGTGAGTAGCCAGAGTTGCACGGCTGTTAAGTGGCAGACCTGCTCTTGGACCCACGTTGGTCTAATTCTCTAGATCCCAAGTCCTCCTCCCTGCTCCCTCCAACTTCTGGGAGCTTCACATCTTACGGGCTTGAGAAGCCGGGGAGAAGCAGGAGGTCAGAGAGGAGCAGGCAGCCCGCTGGGAAAGGGCCATGTAAGAGGCAGAGGGAAAACACTACAACGGCAGCGGCAGTGCTGGCCCCTGTGAACGGGAAACTCCAGTAGGAGATGCTTTCTGAGCTCTCCGCCCACGTAATGTCTCTCCCATGGGGAACTCTTCTCTTCAACCCCCAAGAGCTCCCAGGGTCTCTCCTCCCTCCACCTCAGCCACAGCCTTGGCAAAGAAGTGGGGGGCTGCCACCCTCAAGGTGGTGGCTGAGAGTGGATGTCTGTATCCAGACACAAAAGGGCAGCCTAGTGTGGTTTGGGCCTGAGTAGTGGGGTCTGTGTGTTCAAAAAAGCTTTCCTCAGCTCCTGTGTGTCAGGAGGCTACAGGCAGCCTTCTGACCTCTAGCTGGTGAGGCAGCTCTGATCGTGGACTCCTTTTATCTGCTGCTGAGGTCAGGCCCCTGATGAGGGGCTCATGACCACCGCATGAGTCCCATTGGTGTGTGAGGAGGATGGAGATCAGGCTGGGCTCGCTGTGTCGCAGGGGTGGCGCCTTCATTTTTCAATTACTACTCTAATTGGTGTCCTAGGGCTGAAATGCCATTCCATATCCCAAAGGAGTACCACAATACAGCCTGATGTCTTCTTTTATCAGTGAACCTCTATCAGGTGCTGTCTTTCGCAGTACTGGATCGCATCTGGTGGGACCAAATGCTTCGAGAGAAGGGGTAAGCAACATGAATGGGACAGACACACTAGGGCAGAGGTTTTTAAACTTGAGCTGAGCATCAGAATCACCTGCAGGGCCTGTTAAAACACAGATTGCTGGGCCCTACCCCAGAGTTTTTGATTTCATAGAGTTTGGGGTGAGGCCTGAGATCTGCAATTCCAACAAGGTCCCAGAGGATGTTGATGCTGCTGGTCCAGAGACCATGTTCTGAGAAGCACTGCCTTAGGGGATATCTTGTTTAAGCTGGGCATGGGTTACTCTGCCCTTGCCTCATCTGTCTGAGGTCACCTTCAGAGAGTCATGCACCCGAGTCACAGAATAGAGGTGAGCCCACCACCTTGAGCAGAACCTTAGTTTTTTATTCTCTCTAGTGGGGTCTGCATGGGCAGGAGGGCAGTTAGAGTAGGGGTTATACCAGAGAGCAGTCTGGCTCCTAGTATGGGACATAAGAGCTTCTAGGGTCGAGAAGAAGGTACTTAAGACTTGTTCAGGATGTTTTCCCTAAAATTGAGCCAGCTGTTGACAAACTATACTGAAGAGTGGCAGAGTTCCGGGCTGGGAGACAAAAGATAGAAGTTTTAGTTCTGGCTGAGTTGCTACATTACAAGTGATAGACAAGCTCCTGTTCTCTGGGTCTTAGTCTGCTCACCTGAAAAGTGGGGGATGGGGACAGTGGACCAGATGAAGTTCAGAGTTAGAGCACAGGAAAGCAGCCTGAGTGATTATTATAAGTGCTCTGTATCTCAGCCTCCTCATCTGTAAAATGGGGATTTGGGGCGCCTGGGTGGCTCAGTCGGTTAAGCGTTTGCATTCGGCTCAGGTCATGATCTCAGAGTTCTGGGATCAAGCCCCGTGTTGGGCTCCCTGCTGCTTAGTGGGGAGTCTGCTTCTCCCTCTCTGCCCCCCAACTCATGCTCTCTCTCTCTCTCAAATAAATAAATATCTTTTAAAAAATGGGGATTTAATGGTACTAACCTCACGGGGTTGTTACAAGGACTAAACGACAACATAGGTGAAGAGCTTATCATAATGCCTGGCACATAGAAAGTACTCAACAAATGTTAAGTTGTAATAGCCACCTCTGCACGGTACAGTGACAACAGGATGTACACCTCACTACAGCAGACCACGAGCCACCCCGCCCTCTTTTGGTGCTGCCTGGCATCCTGATACTCACCAGCACCCACTGTGGCGATGGCATTCTCCTGGCCAATGATGTGCTCCTTTAGCCGCTGCTCCAGGGGAAAGCGGCGCCGCTCCTCAGCCTCACGCTTCCGTTGCTTCTCCTGGTACTGTGGGGAGAAAGAGAAGGTGGCTCAGGAGTGCCGGGCCCAGAAGGACCGTTTCATTCTACACTATAACCCAGGGGCAAAAAACACAGGTCTGGGGCTCCAGGGGTCCTGATGCACACTCTGGCTCCTGGCCACTGGAAGCTGGCCCAGTCCTTCCCACTGTCCCTTTGTCCTAGTCCTCACCTTAGGTGGCCACCGCTCAGTAGTCCTGGCTCACCCTGCTAGTAAAATAAAGTACTGCTAGTAGATTAACCCTTGACTCTGCAGTCTGACAAAAGACCTGGGTTTGAATCCCAGCTTTATCACTTACAAGATGTGCTTATTATCTGGAGCAAGTTACTTCCTCTCAGTTTTCTCATCTGTAAGTTGGGGATTAAATATGATGATATACATAATGAGCTGGCATGCAGTGTAAGTGCTTAACAAATAGAGGTTCTTTCCTTTCACTTATCCTCTTGAAAATCTTTTTGGTTTTTACTCTCTCTCTCTTTCTTTTTTTTTAATGTAAGTTCTATGCCCAACATGGGGCTTGAACTCATGACCCCGAGATCAAGAGTCACACACTCCACCGCCTAAGCCAGCCAGGTGCTCCAAAAACCTTTTTGGTTTTTTGTTTTTTTTTTAAAGATTTTATTTATTTATTTGAGAGAGAGAGAATGAGAGACAGAGAGCATGAGAGGGAGGAGGGTCAGAGGGAGAAGCAGACTCCCTGCCGAGCAGGGAGCCCGATGCGGGACTCCAGGATCATGACCTGAGCTGAAGGCAGTCGCTTAACCAACTGAGCCACCCAGGCGCCCACCTTTTTGGTTTTTAAACCAGAGCTATGAACACCTTCCACTTCAATGATATTGCATTTCAATTAAACACAATTATTCTGCAATTGCCATGTGTCTGGCCCTGTGCATGCTATGACGGAAATGGTAGGGTGGGGAGAAGGAGGAGGACTGGAACCTAGGGGGTTCTAGTTGCTGCTGAGTGCCTGGTGTGTATCTGGCCCTTGGCTTGTTGGTCCGCTTTAGAAAAGGCAGAAGGAAGGCGACCTGAGTGTGATCACACTACAAGGGAAGAGAGGAGAGCCAGGCCTGCCCTCAGGGAGCTCTAAGTTGGACAGGGAGGTGAGGCAGGGCTTGTACACAAATACCTCCCAGGTGGTTATCAACCATTTTTCTCCAAAGCATGCATGCCTATTTCTAGCTTGTACCTATCACTAAAAAACAAAAAAAAAAACCCCAAAACTTCCCACTATTGAAAACAAATTTGTTGGGGCGCCTGGGTGGCTTAGTCGGTTAAGTGTTCGACTCGACTTCAGTTCAGGTCTAGATCTCAGGGTCCTGAGTTCAAGCCCCGCATTGGACTCCATGTTAGTGTGGAGCCTGCTTAAAAACAAAAACAAAACAAAAACCAAATTTGTTCCATGTTTGTGAATCTGTCCTCTAAGTCGATTATGAGCTGCCTGAGGGCAGGCACTATCTTTTACTCACTGCAGAAATTCTGGCACTGTGAAGGCAGCTGGTGAATGTTTGCAAAATAAATCTAGTGACAGATAAGAAGAGGAGAGAATTAACAGCTAAACTGGGTGGCACAGGAGTCCAGAGAAGGGAAGGATACGCAAAGCCAGGAACATTGTGGGGAGGCTTCTGGGTGACTGGAGGCTTGAAGAAGCTGTACTACTGGGTTAGGCAGAAGATGTGGGACTATCTGGAGGCCAGGCAGGGAGGGTGAGTGTACAGGTCTGATGATCAAATGCTCATGGAGCCAGGTGGATGGGGGAAGGAAGCAGGCCTTGGAGTGGGACAGAAAGACCTGGATCTTAGGGAGGCTCCTTTCCCCTAAGACCCCGTAACACTGACAGCTTTCTAGAAAGAGATCTGCCAAGGTAAGGGCCCTGTCACAAAAGTTGTGGTTGCAGATTGCTCTTGCAGGCAGAGTGGATGAAAAATACCTGCTGCTTGGGCAGTGTTTTCCTGTTACGGTAGTGACCTTGACAGAAGTTAAAAAAAATAAATAGCAAACAATCCAATTTTGGCTGTTGCTATCAGTCTGTAACTGAAAGCTCCCATCAGTCCTGGGTTTCATATGGAGCAATAATTCGGCGCCAATCCCAATGGAGCGACGCTTGCCGGTTGGAATCCAGAGTGTCACTGTGCTGCTCCCTCAGGCACCACACACATCACCTGGCTCTGATGACTCCGCCATATATCTGCCGCCTCCTCCTCCCTGCCCACCCAGCCCCTCTCAGCTCTTGGGTCCACTAGGCTGGAAGGTTCTGATGGGGAGATGCACACATCCTGCCTGGCCCCGCACTGGGTAGAAGCCTGGCCGGCTTGGAGTCAGGCTGGCCACGAAAACAGCTTGAAGCAATGGAAGCTGGCTGCCGAGGGTTTGCCGGGTCTGCTTCCTAACTCGCCCTCAGTGATGGGTCTCAGAGTCTTCCTGCCTCTGGGCCTTTGCTCATACTGCTCCCTCACCACAAAGTTTCCTCTATTCCCATCTACCTCTAAGTGCCCTGGTGATCTCAACTTAAATACCGCATTGTCTAAGGAGCCTGGTGTAAGGCTTCACGCCTGCCCCTGGCACCTCCAGAGCACTTATTTAACTGCCTGTTTGTCTCTCCTTCTCAACCATGCAGTCCTCAGTGACAAAGGCCAAGTCTTATTCAGCTCCACAGCTCTATCACAGCACAGGGCCTGGCTCCCAGGAGTCAATGCATGCTGCCAATTGAATGAGGTTAACTACTGGTTGTGGAACCGCTCGCTGAGTGCCAGGCACCGTACAAAGGCACTGCACTTTACATACAGTGTCTCCTTTAAGCCTCACAGTTGTCCCTGTGGGAAGTTCGGCTCCTTTTTTGGCTCACAGTGGGGCAAGTTGTATGGCAGAAATAAGCGGCTTTGCTCCAGACAAACCTGAATTCAAACCTCACCTCGTCCCACCCTCTGGCGAGCTGACCCTGGGGAAGTTAATTCACCTCCCTGAATTTTCGTTTCCTCATCTCTAACATGGGGACAGTAACTCACACCACCTTGCAGGATCCTGGTGGGATGCTGGTGAGGATTAGTTGCGATAATATACACAAAGAATGTGGCAGAGTCTCTGGCACAGAGCAAATGTATAGGCAGAAGTGGTGGTGTGAGGGATTCAAGTGGACAGCACAGGAGCTGGCCCCTGACAGGCCTTTGGTAAATGTTGCTTCTCTCCTCCTTCACTGCATTTTGATAACTATCTAACCCACTGCTTTTTTGGGGGATGAAGTGGGGGCACTGGAACCCTTTTACCTAATTTAAGCTGTATGGGCTCCACAGATGAAGAATTCTCTGGCTCAAGCAGAATCTAGGAGCGTAGTCCACTTAGATGTCCCCACTGCCCCAGAAATGGCTCCTTCCTGAAGAAGCCTAGGTCTGAGGGTACCATCTCAATACCAACTGGGTTCTGGGGACACCTCCACTGCACAAGGCAGCTCATCTCTGCCTGTCAGTTTTCCTTACGTGGTAGAGAATTCTGCCTCTAGGTGCTTTCCATGCACTCATCTACAGGGCCTCTTAGAACTTATCTTTTTCCTCTGTCATAGGCAAACATGACTTTTCTTGCCACTCTGTTGGTTTGGGTATAAACTCTTTGGTCTCCCTAAGTCTTCTCCAGGGAAATTTTTTATCTCCTATAACTCTTCAGTGTCATGATTTTAGGTGGTTTTAGTATTCCTGTTATTTTCTTGGGCAAGGAGAAAGGGTCCTCAACTTCTACAGGGGTGAGTATGGGGGAAAGGTTATACTGCGATCTGGCTGGTTTCTTTTTCTTTTTTTAATTAATTAATTTTTTTTAAAAGACTGTATTTATTTATTTAACAGAGAGAGACACAGCGAGAGAGGGAACACAAGCAGGGAAGAGTGGGCGAAGGAGAAGCAGGCTTCCTGCTGAGCAGGGAGCCCGATGCGGGACTCGATTCCAGGACCCTGGGATCATAACGTGAGCCGAAGGCAGACGCTTAACGACTGAGCCACCCAGGGGCCGAAGCAGACTCTCTGCTGAGCAGGGAGCCTGATTCTGGACTTGATCCCAAGACCCTGGAATCATGACCTGAGCTGAAGGACTCTTAACTAACTGAGCCACCCAGGCACCTTTTTTTTTTTTTAAATTTAAAGATTTATTTACTTATTCGGGGGGGGGGGGGGAACGCATGAGCGGCAGGAGGAGCAGAGGGAGAGGGGAAGCAGACTCCTCGCTGAGCATGGAGCCTGCCCCGGCCCCATCCTGCAACCTCGAGATCATGACCTGAGCTGAAATCAAGAGTCAGATGCCCAACTGAATGAGCTATCCAGGCACCCGTGGCTGGTTTCTTAGGAGCTTTCTAGATTGTCCTGGGAAAGATCCAACCTGTGGCCTAAATCTAGGCACATCCTCATTCTCCCCCCACCTGGAACCCTAAATATCTATTCAGAAAAACTTCTGAAAAGGATCAGACTTTTTTTTTTTCCTTAAAGATTTTATTTATTCATTTGACAGAGAGAGACACAGTGAGAGAGGGAACACAAGCAGGGGGACCAGGAGAAGAAGAAGCAGGCTTCCTGCAGAGCAGGGAGCCTGATGCGGGGCCCGATCCCAGGACCCTGGGATCATGACCCGAGCCGAAGGCAGACGCTTAACAACTGAGCCACCCAGGTGCCCCTGGGTCAGACTTTTTGATAAAAATGTATAGGATGCTGGGATTAAACCAGGTTAAAGGTTACTGCTTTATGCTCTTTTCCAAATGTTTAGCACAGAGTTTGTATTTTAAAAAAATGTGCTGAATGAATGAATGACTTCTTAAGGCATTAGCTATGAGCCCAGGCTTGTGAAAAGCTAGCTAATGGAAGAACCTAGAAAGGAAAATACTTGGTCTGTATATATTCTATTTGGGGGAGGAGAGAAAGATGGGAGAAGGCACTTGGTAAGGGCTCCTACTACTGTTCCTGGCTTTTTTTTTTTTAAAGATTTTATTTATTTATTTGACAGAGACACAGTGA